CGTGCACAGTGGCCCTTCCCAGAGAATTGGTCTGTGATCTGCAATCGATAAGAATCAAGCCAGCTTGACTTGCTTGTTGACATCTCTGGAGAATGGGAAGCTCACTCGTGGTAATGATAAAGGTGGCATTGATTGGTGGCGGTATCAGACTGAGGTTCTTCTCCCGAAGCTTATCCCCTTTGCTAAGGAGTGTATGAGAGAGAGGCCAGGTACTCTTGTTCAAGAAGATAAGGCTCCCTCTCATGCTCACCAGGCCCAGAATATTATCTATCAACGAGAGAGTGTGGAGAAGCTCTTCTGGTGTGGTAACTCACCTGATCTCAACGCTATTGAGCCAGCCTGGCCATGGTTAAAGAGAAGAACTACCAAGAAAGGAGCTCCAAAGAGTAGAGGAGAGGCCACAAAAGCATGGGAGCAGGCCTGGAGTGATCTCCCACAGTCACAGATTCAGGCATGGATAGAGAGAATTCCTATCCATGTTCAAAAGATTATTGAACTTGAAGGTGGGAATGAGTACAAGGAAGGCAGAGGCCTGCCAAGAGTTCGTGGAGACTGATCTGTCTGTATTTCGGTAGTTTCTCGGTCAAATAGGAGACCCCCCTGTCAGCAATAACTTTTGAAAGGCACCTCTGTAGCGCGTGCGTACTTTGCTTATCGAAGGCCCGATATCGACCGCCCATCAGCAACCATTCCAGATCCGTGCGAGTGCGATGCTAGAACCATGTCCCAATCTAATGGTCCCCAACTTCCCGCTTGGGAGATGACATGTAGCTCCGATCCCAATGCTGGTGTGTTCTGAATTGTCCCGTTTCAGGTTGACCAGCTGTCGATGGCGGCGCGTAATTCTGCTGGCTTGGCCCTCGAAGGTCATTACGCGGTGGCGAGCTTGCGTGTACATGGTCCGAATTGGCCTGGGCTTTGCCCTCTGCGTCTCTTGCTTCTTCTCCTGCGTCGCGCGGCCGCACAGTCTCGTGCGCGAGCCCAGAAACCGTGCCTCTTCTGCTTAGTGAACCGCTGGAGCCCTCTGCCGCTCGTGCCGATGCATCAGACCGGTTTCGAGCATGCCCTCGTCGCCCCGGTGTCGACGTTGATGACGAAGAGATGTGGGAAAAGGATGGAGATGTGTATGACCCCGGCGCTGATGTAGGCGGCGGCGGAGCGGGGTGTGGGCCTTGGGCCTTGCGCTTTTTCGGGGAGCTGGTGTACTCTACGTCAGACGCATGCGACGCAGCACGTTGCCGTGACTGGTGAACAGGCGAAGTTTTGAATTTACCTGAGGGCGTAGCTGGCGGGTTACCACTCGAACTCTTGTCCTGGGAAGAAGACGAGGGGGGCACCCAATGGTGAAAATATATAGAAGGGGAAGATTGTTCTTGCTGTTGTGTCTGTGTCTGCTGAAGCTGCTGTACGCCCGCTGGAGCAGCAGGAGGCGGTTGAATGTTCATCTCGTTCGTTGTCAAGCGAGGAAGTGACGACTGCGTTAAAGACCGTGGGGCCGAAGTTGGAGCGCCACCAAGACCAGCTTGTGCAGCTCTCGAGCGCGGTGATAGCGATGCACCCGTGTAGCCAGTGAAGGAGGGCGAGCCTTGTTGAGACTGCGTCTGTAGAGGCTGGCCAGGCAGGACTGACGTTGGGGGGAGTATGGTTTGCGAGGCTTGCGCCTGACCGGCATACACAGTCGACAGGGCCTGTCCGATTAATCTTGGGTCTCTCCGGAGATCTGGGGAAAGCTGGGATTGCGCCTGAGCCTGCACATGCTGTTGGGCGGCCTGGACCTGGTTCGCGTACTGCTGTATCCATTCGGAACTGACGTTTGCGAGGTTACCCCCTCCGATGCCAGCAAATATGATGGGCACCAGATGAGGCGGGATCCCTCCCTGCATCGACTCTCGTAGCATAGACTGCTCAACCTTGCGTTGCTCGAGCCGTAGCGTTTCCTGCCTCGTCTTCTCCTCCTCTTGCTTTCGTCGTTCCTCTTCAGCCTTTGCGGCCAGCCAGTTCTTCATGCCGTCCTCGGCACCTTGCCATTGCGGAGGAGCTGGAGGTAGTTGACCAAGGGAAGAAGACATGGATGGAGCACCTCCCCTCGCCGGATCAGGCAGCGTCATGGCCGAGGGTGGAGGGAGACCCCGATGCGGCGTACTCATGGTGCGAGAAGACGGATTGGCAGCCTGTGAGGTGGTGGAGGAGGAGGGTGATCGGCCACCAGGGAGCCGGTCAGAGTATCGAGCGGTAGGAGGTGAAAAGGCTGGGGAGTAGGCATGGGATTTGAATTCAAAGTCGGACTTTACCGGGTTAGAGAGAGTGAGCAACATGGGTGGAGAAGTGGCCGGCGTGGAAGATGGCGTGGAAGCAATTCGACATTGAAATGAGTGGTCGGGGTGGCGCCAAAATTTGTAGTTCCGGAAAGAGAAAGGACGGTGTACATACTTATTATTCACCAGAGTATGTTTGCCAGGACCACCATCCACATATGACCCGGGATGAGATTGGTACCCGTTCCCTTACGGCCTAGGGTCAAAGTATGGCAGGCGTGGGCGGATCAATCTGATTCGCGGCTATAGCAGGGCAGCGAAGAAGAAATCAAAGAGTAACAGGCAAGGCTCGATGCAACGAAGATCAAGCTTCTACAAAGCACTCGCGTGGGCCGGCGTGGTCGATCAGGTCCAGATTGGTGAAGGGCGAGTGAAAGTGGGCAACAGTGGGGAATGGGTGTGACAAGGAGGGAAGAGGACCGACTGGAGTCGGGCCAACCAACGGCAGTGACGGCCGCAAACACATGAGAGCAGCACGAACAAACGGCAAGCCATAGATGAGGACAAGCCGATGTGTGGCGTTTAGCGGGCGACGGCGGGAAGTAGGCTTTGCAGGGATGTGCCTGGGACGGGATGGGTAAGTCAGCAAGCGCAATGTTGTTTTACTGCGGTGCGCGTTCTTGTAGTCCCGCTATGTGACGCGCGTGGAGAAAGGCTCCGGCTGATGCAAAATCTGGTTACGGTTCCCACTTGTGGCGCTGGCTTTCGCCGCAGCATTACTCTTGTCCCGGCCGCCCACTGCTACTCTGTGCCGTTGCGAGCTGGCAGCCAAGCAAAACACAGCCCAAACTACCGCTGCTGAGTTTGATTTGATGAGCAGCATCCGCCTTGGAACTAGGCTGATCGGAGAAGGCGTCGCGGATACTTCCACTTTGGCCTCGGCCCCAATTCCCTGACCGTGGACGTGGGAAGCAAGACGAATGAGTGACGAGCCAACGACGTGCTACTGCTTTGCTCTCTACAGTATCACTACATACTTACAACCGAGCGAGAGCGGCCTCAAAAGACAAGTTGCCTTGCCCCTGTCGTACGGGAAACGCTCAAACCAACATCTGTCGTAATAAACATAGGTGTCGTCGTATCAAATAAGCTCCGGTGCCGCCAATTGGGCGTGCCAAACTTTTGTCTGTGCGAAATCCCGAAATCCCATGGAGCACGCATGTGGTAATTCATTGTGCAACTCTGCTCTGGACCACGGCCATGGCATGTCCCTGGGTCTTTTGATGGGCGTGGGCTGGGGATGGTGAGCCGTGCGCTAACCTGACCAGCCAGCAGGGTCAACGTCCGGGAGGAAGCGAAGCGCAAGATTACCGCTGCCCAAAGTGTGGTCTGACACTGGCCTAGCTTGCCAATAGCAGTATAGGGAAATGAAGGGTCGTTGGTCTCTGTCACAGCCTCAGCCATGTAATGTCCCGAAGTGGAAGCGGTGAAATGAGCACTTCGTGTCCAGAGAGCCGCCGTGCATCAACACGAAACCTTGGAATGGTGCTGAAGGGTATCCGGTGGCCCTGCTGCAGAACCTGTTCCGAGCCTAGTGCCGAACCCGAACGAGTATACTTACAGATGCCGTCTGAGCGTCAACGGCTGAAGGAGGAGCACCCCCCCTGCTAGGTGTAAGTAATCATAAAGTCAATGGTGGGACGGAACAAGGAATAGTTTCCAACGTGTCAGCCTGGGGGGGACCCCTCCGGATCGACATAGCGTGACAGACGGCATGGCATGGCCAATCGATAAGAAACCCACCCAGGACCCGACACAAGACCCGGACATGTGTCACTCTGAGGCGCTCCTACAGATTGGCTAGACATGGGCGGAGCGTAGCCTCATGGGTTGATGCTCGCGTGCGCGCGCGCGCGCGCGCTTCTATCTCTGTATTTTTTTTCTTCTTCTGCGGTAGCCTTGTGTGATCAGCGGTGCACCAGCACTGACGGTGTGTTCCCACTACCGGTACAGCATGTAATATGAGCAACAAGTTGGATGACAGCTCGCAAGCCCGTCTTCAGACGCGGCGTTGCGCCATGCCCGGGCGCCTGGCACCGCCTCGAACGATCGATTAAAAGGTAAATTTCCGCGTCGGCGCCTAGGCTATACCTGTTTGGATCTGCAGCGGATCTACGTGAAACTCGCGGCGCACCGGATCTGTACGAAGGATCTTGGAGTATGATTTCAGGCCCCAGTGGACTAGACCTTGGGCCAATCACCACCCACATGTGCCGTCGAGCATCATCAGAAAATGTCGAAATGCGGATAGCAGGGCGAAATTGCTGCTGAGGACATACTGCGTCCTGCAGAGTGAGAGGGGAAGTAAGGTTTGATTTTTTGCCAACATGACACATTTGACAATGTCTCGATGATTACGCACCTAATGACGGAATGGGTAGCCTAGGTGTATATAGAAAACAAGTCCTAGTAGTCATAGCGCGCCGTGCAGACGGCAACTTGGCAGTTTGCGGGCTTGAAACCGGCCAAAATGCCGTCGTCGTCGTCGCGAGGCAGGCGGGAAGGATTGCGGTAGTGACCCGGGGCTATCATAGTTACCTACCGCGTGGGTTAGGGAGTCTTGTACGCTACTACTACGCTGAGGCGCCCGGGGCTTGTAACCCGCCCCAGCTTGGAAATGATGAGGCTTGCAGCAAGTTTGAACATGTGCAGAAGCAGCACATGCAGTTCAGGTCGAGTCGTGCCTTAGCTTCTGCTGGAAGGGCCATGTACGGTCGGAGACTCGGAAGGCAAGTCAACCGCGGCTGCTGCTACAAGCGCACTGATACCATCCATACCATGCGTAATAACGTAGTTCGGTGGACAAAGAGGAGCCGGCGTATCGCTCCTCAAGGGTGGTTACGGATATAGGCACGACGCACCGCCCATGTCCAATACAAATCGTCGTCGATCTCTGACATGACGTCTTGCAACAGAGAGAACTAGAGCCGGTCTCATCTGCCTAGTTAGTCCAGAGAGTTTAGTGTACCAAGATCGCGAAAAGGACTATCCATGGAGATAGTACCCAGAGCAAGGCAAGACATTAGCCGGCTAGGCTTTCGGTGAGAGAGGAAAAAAACCTCCGGCTCGACACACCCCTCCCCTCGCACTCGCTTGCCCTTCCCCAACACACACAATCTCTCTCTTTCTCTTACCAAGCGCAAAACGTTGTTGCACCCTTTCCCACATGGGCAAAAAAAATGAACATCACCCACATGGAGCAGACAGGCATACCGCTGATCTCCGCTTCATCTTGAGGGCAAAAATCAGACCACGATCAGCGCGTGCGTTGCGTCGACGTTATGCCAGAGGAGTTCAACCCGTTCGGCGTAGCCGAGTGTGACTCCAAACGGAGATGCAAGATGCAAGATGCTTGTCCACTTACAAGTGTTTGCGGTAGTTGAGGGGGGCAAAAATTCTACGTACGCGTCGTGGGGAGGCGAAATGTGTGCATGACGGCGGTTGCACCTGCTGCGTTGACAGTCGTTCGCCACCCGAATCGGCACCTGTGATGCCGCTTTGAGCTGACCTTTGCAATTCTACCCGTCGACTTGGGAGGTGGAACCGATGCAACCTGTATTTTTTTTTATTTTACACAAACGTCGTCTGTCCTTCGGCAACTGTTTTTTCTTCCACATTCCGATTCCAGAGCATACACATGATGTGTTGATCAATTAGTCAGTCAGTCAGGTCTGGCTGGCCTCCTAAAGTTGCTTTCTTCCACCCATCATTGCCGTGCATCGCTTGCAGTAATTGCCCCGATGCAATCTGTCGTCCGTCGTGTATGTCTCACTTAGCTGTCACTGTGCTGTCACTCTCGCTCGGAACCCCATACCCGCCGCAAAAGATGCCTGTTATTATCACCAAGCTCTTAACAGACGGCATTTTCTTAACAGACGGCATTTGAATCATGCGGCTATCGGACCTCAAGGGCAACAAGTGTCACGTGCCCGCCTCGCCCTCCATGCCACAATTTTAGCAACACGAAAGAAGGCTTCCAAGGGGGAAGGTGGAGTGCAGATCTGTGACCAAGTTGTTGCCGCAAAAGGTAAGATGCAGGCTTTTGCTGCACTGTCGTCCCAGTCCCAGTCCTACCCGTCCCCGTCCGCCGGCGACCGCACCCCCGGCCGAACCCCCTGAACGCTGATCGATATACCGGTACATCATCGCTATCGCAATAAACGTAGGCAAGTAAACTGCCGATCAATTATAAATAAACCCGAGCGACCAGCTCTCTGCAGTAAACGACGACGATCTTGCACAAATACAGTCGCTATCCGAACGGGCTTCGAGAAGGCAACGTCGAAGTCTTGGAAGAGGCAAGGGTGATGTGGCGCGGAAGGGAGGAAGGAGTGATTAACAATTAAAATTAACTAAATGTAGTTCGGCAGTAGGTAGGTATGCTCTGAATGGTATATGTGTATGTGTCATGCATGTTCTCCGTAACATCGCGCGCGCGCGCAAACGAAACAAACCCGTAGGTGAATAAATATGCAAACCAGAAAACAAAGAGGTATCTTCATAACGGACAAACAAAACAAAAATTTGCATCTATACCATGTCATGCGCCCGACAACGAAACATCGTCAAACCCACCTTTTTTCCAAATAAAAGCCTTGATAAACGGCTTTGAAGCACAAGCCATGCCATACCATGCTGTGCCCATGCCATGTCCACACACGAGCCCTATATGTGTTGTGCCCGGCTCACTAACCGTATTGCATGCCCGTAAAAGAGACATGCCATGCCATGCCATGCCATGCCCCAAACATAGCCCATGGGCGACCAAGTAAGCTGAACACAGCTTCCCAAAAAGACCCGCCGGCGCCGGCCGTGAAAATAATGCCCTAGGGGGTTGGTGAGAAGATAAAAACAGTCGCCGAAGCAACAAAAAGAAGGAAGGGTCGTATGGCGGCGCGCGCTGATAAACACCAGAGTAAATGGGTATGAGGTATCTTCCAGGGAAACAAGTAAAACATGAGGATTCAGTCGCAAGAAAAACGTGGGAGACACGTTCAAACCCAGCGACGCGGGCGACAAAAAACGGCATCAGCGCAAGCAAGCCACTGATGTCCAACTGATGGCGGACGTTTGTAGCTTCCGGTAAACCCACATGGAAGCTTACTTCAAGGGGGAAGCTCGGCTGGAAACAAGTAGCCTAGTTCGGACTTCGGTGACCCAAACAACAAAACCAGCAATGCGCCCGTCCGGCTGCGTGATGGGGGGCGCCCTTGTCGTTTAACATCTTGGTGACATTCCAAAAGGAGGCGCCAAAGTGCGGCCACCGGCATTCAAGTATTGCCTCGCTTCTTGCGCAATTTATATTCTGCTTTAGCCACGCGCATCAACAGCTCTTCGTCCTTGATGGGTATCCAAGACGTCAACACCTTCATCGCGTTTTCAAAGTCAGAGTCGAGAAGAATCTCTCGCGTTGCATTGATCAGTGCAGCTGATGTCGCATGCAACACGTCCATGTCGCCGTTGAACTTTGACGTCGGCGAACTGGACCGCGACTTATCGCCCAGAAGCATGAATACGTCCCAGACGCGTAGTTGAGCCGGGAACGGGAGGGAATAGTTGAAGAGGGTCAAGTACCATCGGGTACCGTATGCGGTAGAGGTGATGCCGAGTTCATTCTATGCAAAGGTTAGCATTAATGTTTGAACAAGTGTATTCTGCATAAGAGTCCAGACTTACTAGTTTCTTTGCAACATCTCCCCCGCGCAACCAATTCAGCTCAAAGTCGTCTAGAGCCTCCATAAGGCCTTCGAAACCAGCCTCATAAAGCCTCTCCATGCCCCGAAGCTGCCATAGCCGAACTAGCATGACAAACGCCCTGTCCTCTTCATAATAGCAAAGGAGTGTTGCCGTGACAGAAGCCATGCCTTGAACGTAGCCCGTCTCAGGTAAGTAAAGTGACATGGCATGAAGTACACGGAAAAGCATTCGTTGTCCACCACGATACCGCCGTCGAAACATGATGTGTCTGTTGATGGTCCGTGGTACATCGACGTCGATTTGCACGTCTTCTGCAGAGCTCTCCATCTGTAATTCGTAGAAGCTCTCGATGAGCTCTTCCTCGGTCGGGCTGTCCTTTTCAGCTTTGGCGCTGGCCGCGAGGAACGAGTACCATGCAGTCGCCCTCCAGCGATCTGGAATGCCTTTCCAAGTACGAGAAATAACTTTTGGATCTTTGGTGTCGAATTCGAACAGCATACCGCCCTTGTCTGCGCCGGATTTGACAATCTTGGCCATCTTACGCCATTTGTCGTTTCGGGCGATTTCCTTTGCTTTCATGGCCTGAGCTGCTCTGCCGCCTTCCTGTTGCTCTGCAACTTCAGCCAAACCCGGGGGTAGCTTGAGCATGTCACTGGCCTCCTCCCTTAGCCTGCGGTCTCTGTTGTGGGGTAGTCGATTGGTGGCATGCCGTAACGGCCTGTGGATGCTGCGTGCGTCTGAGTTGTGACCGGAGAATAGCGACCTAGCCGGTCTTGACGATACGCCAGAAAGTCGACGTTGAGGAGAGCCTGATCGCGGGTCTGCGGAGCGGGATGATGGTGCTCTTGAACTGCTTCGGCCTAATCTGCGCCTTCTAGGCTCTGCTGACAACAATTGCAATGTCGTGGTGACTCGGTGCAGGTGGGGATCGTCGGGTCCGTCAGGGCCGTCGCCATCGGAATTGGATTTCGATTTTGACCTCTTCGGAATGATGAAACCGTATCGATCAACCTCTCCATCCAAATCTGCCCAATCTTCAAGTCCACCAGCTACCTCGGTCGGTTCCTTGATTATAACGCTTCCAAGTCTTGAACTCATCAGTGAGCTTGTATCCTCATTGCCATCTGCAGCCACCGACGAGCCATTGCCTGGTATGTTGGTAACTCCGCTGTTGCCCCCTTGGTAGCTGTTGTGAACACTATCCGTCTCCTCATCCAGTTTTCCCCAATTCACAGCGCTCTCGTTGCCATGCATGTACATACAGCGCACTTTGCGCGACAATGTCATCTCATCAGAAGACAGGACTCGGTGGTTGATGCTTCTTGCTCTTGTTGAATAACGCGAAATGGACCGTGGCGGCGAAAGATGTTTTGTGGCTGGGGTGGGTGGTGACAGCGACTGCTGCGCGGGACTAGACTGCTCCTGCCCCTTCTCCCGCTCCTTCTCCTTCTGGCGCGGTGGTGTGCTCGGCTGAGGCGCGCCTTCCACCAACAGATCCATTTGTCTGCTCTTCCTGTTTGCCTTCTTACCACCCAACATCATGCTACCTCGCTTAGAGAAAGATATCTGCGCGTCCGAGGAAATGTCGTCGAAGCTGCCTGTGGGGATGAAGGTGTCGAGACCGGGAAAGGCAAGGTCGTCCTCCTCATCAATGTCTAATGATCGGTGCCTTGAAGCACGGCCGTTGATACGTGATGAGCCTTCATGCTGGACAACAATAGCAGGCAGGGCAGGCAGGCTAGGCGTCTTGTGCAGGCTCGTGGGTGAGGGGGGTTCGTTTGTCGTGGTATTGTTGGAAGGTGCCAAGGCGGAATCTCTGCGGTCGTCGTCTTCTGTCAATAGGGTGCGCTTCAGGGAGAATGCTCGTGGGCCTGGTGAGGTTCGTGGTCGCCGAACATTGCTCAACCATGATCGCGCTGCGGGGCCCTTGGTCGACGAGGCGCTGGGGGCATTGGACTTGACAGGTGACAACGCGTTGGAAACGTCAGACTGCTCCACCACGGCAGCGCCAGACGCATCCGCAGCCTCATCTCTCATCGTGGACAGCGCGGGTCCTGGTCATGGGAAATCCGTCCCGGGGAGGGAAGCGGCCTGTAAAGCGAAATGAAAGGGCTGCGGTTGAGGCGGCGGCACTTTGCGACAGCCTGACAGGTACAAGGCCGTGTTTGACTTTATCCAGTGCCGCAGCTTCCAATGCTGCAGTTTGGTTATACAAGACGGTGCAATGGAAGAGCAGAGACGTTTGCGACTACTATGAGACTACGAGATCAGCAAAGACCCTGCTGAGCTTTGCTGATGAATAGGGGGCGTCTTTGGAGGTAATGGTCCGAGTCGTGGGTCGCATGCCATCTTCGACCCGGAGATTGCCCAACGCGCCGCCTTGGTGCGACGCCTGCTCACTTTACCACGCTCGTACCTGGCCCATCTCCAATGCTGCTGCCAAGGAGCCCTCTACTTACATGACTTTTGTTCTTTTACCCATCTTACCCGCCACACCCATCTCATCAGCCTCAACAACCTCGCGCGTTTGCACCGACATGGCGTCATGACGCGTTCAGTGGCTGCTACATATCCTCAACACCCCACAGCTCTGACCCTGCGCCTGCGGACACAGCTCGCTGTTTCACACATCAATAAACTCTTCGGTCATGGCTACTCGAATTGGATTCGAACTAATCGCTTCGTAACGTCATAGTCGGCCTGGACTGACCTCGTATCAGCAGTCACACCATGGACAACTCAATGCTGCAGCAGCAACCCCCCATTGCAGAAAGAGCTGGACGTCCTCATGGCGTTGTACACGCAGTCACGACATTCTCGTGCTTACCACGCTGACGGCCACGCAATCTGTTACCTTTGTCCAACCTACCCCAGGGGCTGTCTTACCCTTGTACCCTTGATGAGGATCCCCTTGCTTACAGCTACGGCCACCAGCGCTTGTTGGTCTATCATGTCGGAAGTAGCAAATACCGTAATATGCTTCGAGGCCTCCAATGACGCTGCTCACAAGACGTGGTGGCATGTTGGCGAAAGTGTACTACCTTCAGCTGAGTAAGATGCACTTGTCCAGCTGACCGACCATTCATGTTACGCCAATTCAAGAACACCATATTAGTGCTTAGTGAGGTTGAGATTGAAATAAGAACGAATCAACCATCACAAAGTGCACCATGCAGCTGATACTCAAAGGCATGACTGTATAAAGTACCCATAGGATTGCAGGTTGTATTCTACATGTTTCCTTTTGCTAGTCTTCCCATCACTATCCGCCGCTCACTTCTTCTTCGAGCCCCTCCCACCTCTCGCGCTCTTCTTCTTGCCCTTGGCAATCTCGGCACCCCGTCGTCCACCAGCAATCATAACTCTGACTTTGCTAACCGGCACTACACCAACTACCTCCATCTCCTTCCACCCCCTGATAAGGTCAATCTCCTTTGGCCAGATACGCTCCGTATCCTGGCTCGACTTGTCCAACGCCTTTGCGTCCTTTCCAGCGTGGTCCCAGATTGTCAGCACCTCCTTTACAGCTTTACCACGCTTAGTAGAACCAGGCTGCATCTTGGCCTTGTATTTGTATGACGAGAGTGCGGACCAGGGAGCGCATACGGGGATTGCAGAGAGAATCTCATCGTTTGGTAGTGGACGGCCAGTGAAGGCGTCGAGGTTTTGTAGGTTGGTCTTGAGAACTTCGTCGCCCTCGTCGTCATCTTCAGCATTCTCTAGTGCACGTAGACGCGCTTCTTCGGCGGCTTTGCCTGCAGCTTGCGCACGAAGGTGCTGCTCCCGGCGACGTTGCTTGTCAGCTTGAGCCTGCTCTTCCTTCTGTCGCTTCTCTTGCGCAGCGGCTTCTGCTGCTTGTTGGCCGGATTTGGAACCTAGGAGGCGCATAGCTAGCTCTCGGTCTTCTTCGTCCTGCGCGGCATACTTGGCCGCTTGCTTCTTTGCCTTTGCTCGCTTGCCGCGAGGTAGAGGTGTGTTCTTCTGCTTCGTGCCCTGTGATGTTGCTGTGCCTGGTACCTTTCCAGGTGTCTTGGCACTTCCTTCTTCTGCAGATGAACCCTCTTCGTGTGCGGCATCGTCATCTGCTGGTGCTGCATTAGATGGGACTTGGGGCAGTTCTGGAAGCTGCCCTTTTCTCGCGAGACGACGTTCCCTTGCGGACAGTTGCCGGCGTCCGGTGGATTTGGATGTCTTCTCCGTATCCGCTACAGAGCCATCATCCTCCTGTGGCTCTTCGTTTGCTGATGATCTATTTCGCCCTCCAGACATGGCGAACTCGTCATCTTTTTGCGCAACTGACGGCTCGTCTCCATCATCGGATTCATCTCTTGCATCTGTCGTTCTTGACTGCAGAGGATTGCTTCTAGGAGCTGCCGCTTCAGACTCAGCATCACTCTCTTCTGTCTGACCCATCTTCGCATCAGGGAAATCGTCCTCGGAATCAGATTCAATCTTAGCGTCCGGGAAGTCTTCGTCATCATCGCTGTTGTCAGTTTTGGTATGGTCTGCAGCCTTGGTCTCATCCGTAGGCTCATCCACCATTTCCGCAGCGGAAACTGCAGTCTCCTGTATCCGATGCTTGTGATGATTTGCCTTGCTTGACTCGCTGATTTCGAACATGACTGCAAGTCCCACTACGAGTTGGGCTAGAGGTAAGAACTCCTTCTTTCCCTTGACGTTGAACATGCCCGCTGGGAGAAATTCGCCAGTTTGTCCGGTCTTGCTCACTTGGTCGCTGCGGACCCACCATGCTGACATGACAGCCTTGGAGTCCCATGCGTCCGAAGTACATATGCAAAGGTTGCCTGCTTGCGAAAGCGTAGAGGGTGGTATCGGAGCATCTGGTGTATCGGGCTTGTTCTTGATAATCATGGGCATGGCTCCCTTGAGATCGGCGTGAACGTATACATCTCCCTTGCGTAGAAAACGTCGGTAGATGATCTCGTTTTGCTGCGCGTCCTTGCCTCCCAGGACTAGGTAGCCATCCGAAGAAATGAAATAGATAAACTTTTCGAACCACTGCTGTTTGCGAACGGGTCGGAGCACCTCCTTCTCCTGCTTCAGGCCCTTTTTCAGATCCTCGGCTACCTTCTTCTCGTGGCTCTTCAAAGCTCTAGTCGATGCTTGCAAAGTGCGATCCTCCTTGTTGGCGGCTGTTTTCTTCTGGTCAAAGTATTCGGTCGAATTTGCCCATGCGGTGAGACTGAGATCAATGTCGATGGCCAACTGAGGTCGAGCCGACACCTTGACTGGCGCAGACTTCTTCTTTGCGCCATCTTCTTCGCCTGCGTCTTCGTCACTGTCCTCGCTAACAGAACTCGTTTCATTGCCCTCATCCTCTACCTCTTCACCTTCCTCCCAATTTGTCTCGTCTAGTAACAGGGTGATGGTGTTCTCGTTCAACTTTAGTGGTAGTTTGATGAGCTGTGCGACAGCGTTCCCGGAGTTTTGCTCTCGCTCGATCAGACGCGCGATGTCGACCCAATCCATGCCTTGTCTTATCAGTCCGTTCACAGCCTCAGTGGCTTCGGTGACACGGTGTACGTTGGCCAGAATTGCTTCTGCCTTTCGGAAGTTTAGCTCTTGTACTTGCTGTAGTCCACCAATGCGATCTTCGTGTTCCTTGCGTGCCTTTTCTAGCTTCCTCTTGGCCTGCTGTTCGCGTTCCGTCAACTTTGACTCTAGTTTTTGGCCTTCTATCGAGGAGAAGAACTCGTCCACGGCTTTGTTAAAGCCATCAAACTCGATAAAAGTGTAATCTGAGTTCTCGAATTGCTGCGGGCGGAAAGGGTGGAAATCATCGTAGAGAAGTCTTGCCTTATCAGACGACTCATCCTCGTTCGTTGGCGCCGATGGGTTGGGCTTCGCGAGGATGTAGCCCTTGATTTGATTTGTTGTTGTGATTTCGTCTGTAATTTTTCTTGCATCCCGTAGAACCGACACTAGCTTCTCCATGAGGCCATCGTCGGCGATGACCTCCTCCGGCTTCAGGGTCGAATCGAAGTCTGCAACATGTAGCGCATGGTCGACTAGCAGCGGAGGACACTCGGTAATAGACACAGCCAGCGCTTTCCTCAGAGAGTCTTTGCCTGCCTTCTTTGCTTTCTTCCCTGTCGCTGCAGGCTGATTCTGCTGCCTGTCCATAGCCTTCTGCAATGCTTGTCGCACCCGTTCCTTTGTAAGCTCCGGAGCGCCGCCATAGTTTTGTCGTAGAGTGAGGTTGTATCTCAACCCAACCCTAAGTTTCTCGTGTTCTTCGCCTTCGTCGACATTCCGCAGCAGCGACAAAACGTTCAATTCGGCATCTGTTAAGACGATGTTGCCACCAGCGTAAAACTCCAGGTACAATCTATAGAGTCCATCTGAGAATTGAAATTCCAGGATGCGGTCTGTACCGATCTGTGCAACCGAGGTGATGCGTCGCGTTTTCAGGTACTTGCGCAGCTTCGCGACGAAGCCTGAAGGCGTCCCAGCCGTGGTTCGCGCATACTCGGTAAGATGACAACGGAAGCCGGAGTCGATGAGAAGTTGCTCACGGTGGTCGGGCTTGTGGAACTTGATAAGGAAGATTCTCTATGCTGCATCAGTCAGGTGATTCATTGTGACAGCTGGACATGTCGACATGTACCTACCGAACTCAAATCATAGACATTGGTGACTCGAAGTGAGGTGAGTTTGGACGAAAGCTCATGGGCTATTACCTGAGCGAAACAATCAGTACTGTAGAGAGAAAATGACGCATTGAAAATACTTGCCTTGACGTCCAAACTGGAAAACCTTTGTTTCATGGTGTTGTGGAGTGTGAAGAGTCTGTGGTGAGTGGGGTCGCCAACTGAAGGTGGGATGCGGCGATGACGAAGGCAGGCGAGTAGCGCGATTACAAGGGTCGTGTACCTCTTGACAAGTGCGGGTAATGGATTTTGACATCAACATGGTCGCCAGCACACATACGTCTGCGCTTGCAATCGGTAGAGATTGCATGTATTCATAGGGCCTTTATTGTGCGCGGCGCGCTACCTACTCTATTACCATGCGCCGCGTTCCGGGCCTTCGCAGTCGCAATGCCTCATGCATTTTATCCCAAACTCCGACAACGCCGCGCCCAACAAAGCAAACACGCTCATAGGCCCTGCCGTATCCGCTCCGCCAGCTGCCTCTTTCCAAACTCCCACGCGTTCAAGAAGCCCTGCTCGGAAAGATCAATGTTCTTCATCGATGTCATGTCTTGGGCTGGGGGCTTGCTGACGCGCGAAGCCACAATTACTGGATCGGTTTCCAGGATGATACCGTCGTCGACGAGCTCATCGACGGCGAGCGACTGTGGAGGTCAGTGAGTGAGTTTTTGGGGTTGAGAAGTGTAATTGCCTACCACGAGGTCGTAGTTCTCAATCACGGTGCGCTTGTCGACCGAGTTCCTAGGCCGTGTCAGATATATTAACCAAAGCTTATTCGGGACTGCCTACTTGAGGAGGATGTTGAGTGAATCCCTTAGAGCTAGGACAACACTGGCAACTGGTCAGTACAGGCTCGCTCGCTCCTCGCTCCGGTGCCATGACCATACCTGTATAGCAGCACCTCGTTCTCTTCGGCGCTTCCGACCACATAGAGCATAACATCCGACTCCATCTTGAAGACAATGACTTTTTGGTCGTATAATATAATGTCGGTCGTCTGCTTGGCCGTTTTCTCTGTTTCCCATGTCAGACGCAGCCCAGCCACATATGCCGGGTTCCAGCTTCAGGCTACACACCCAGTAGTCCCTTTTCAAACGCCTTCTGGTCCTTCACCGTCTTGTATGCCATCTGGCCCGGGTAGTCGTTCTGGTGACCAGCGGGTGGGTGTGGGTTCGAGTAGTATTTGGTGAGGATGCGGGAGCCGTCGTCAATGGCGAGAATGAGGATGGCCTGGACGCTGAAGAGCGAAAGTGGACGCGACATGATTGGGGATATGGCTATCTTTTGGTCGCGTAGGCGTCGGTCAATGGAAGCTGTCTTGTGGGGGGAATTGGCTGATAGGTGTCTCCTCGCTGGGTTGCGGAGAAGTGGCCAATCACGGAGGTCGTGGGTTTGGCTTGGCGGACCCGCCCGAACTTTTGTGTGTAGACGGTCCCGCAAACCACAACGAGCGACAATTGAGCCCTCACACACGGGCAAAGATGCAAAAGATATCGCGAAAGTCACTGGCATCGCTGGTCTGCCCATCCGCTCCCTTCCTCGTCCCTCGTCTTCTTCGCACGGTTGCCCCGGCCGCCGTCGCATCCTTCTCACCATATCGGCCGCTACAGAGACAATCATATGCGACAGGCTCCGAGAAGAAGAGCCGCCTCGTACGGAAAGTCCAGTATGCACCACCAACCATCCCCGGGCGCAGCGCAGTTGATATCGAGGTGAGTCCGATGCCTTCATATACCATAGCCCGTCCAGTACTCACATGGTCAGAATAACCGTCTCCTCCACAAATTCCGCAATGCATGCGAAACGCGAAATATAGAGTCCATAATGGACCTCTATCCCCGCCTGCTTTCGGCCCATCTAATCAATAGCTACGATACCCGGCGCATTACACAAGCCCTCCATGTACGCCTCCGCAACGAACCTCAGCACAGCCTACACGACATATTCGCCTTTATAGATCGCATCCAGAGTGACCTTCGTACTCACAGACTGGAACCCCACCCATACGCCTTTGTGCACTTGTTCGGCATCTACAAAGAATGTAGTCGTTGGGACGAGGGATTAGCCCTTTGGCGGTGGTTGGTCCAGCAGGACGATCAATTCTGCTCACAGGCTTCTTACGGTGCTGCCATTGAGCTCATGGCATACGGCAACCTGATGTCCCTACCAGAACTGGAGAATTTGTACCAAGAAGGCCTCAAGCGCTTCCCTGGCACTTTTGCCCAGTATCATCTGTCACCCGACGCCATTGTCCCTAACCGTGCAGAGCTTACTACAATTTCCGGTATCCCAACTATCCTTCTACAGGGCATTCTCACAGCACGCTTACTGGCTGGTGATTGGAGAATGTCCTATCTGGCTTTCGACACAGCCCTCCGCATATATCCCACCCAAACTCCTTCGCGGTACTACGAGCTATTCATGACCGAAAGGCCAATAGCTGAAGCATACCCCGCCTTTATGGTCGCTTGTCGCGCCGGCACACGTTTGAGGCCCACCCACGTTACTGCCCTCATAACCAAAATGCGGGCTGCCATGATTGCAGCGCCTAAAATGTCCGACCGCGTCATGCTACTTCGCGCCATAGCCAATGCTATCTACGCCTACTTGGAGTCTGGCGCGACACTAGAAAGCATCCACGTTGGAAACCTCATACGTTCTTTCGAATTGATCTTGCCTGAACCTGTTGCTGGCCAAGACTATGTTGGCGAAGCAGCAGTAATGCGTGACGCACTTGTATTGACTGCGCATGACACTTTGTCCGGACTCGTACAAGCCGGCGCCTCGTTCAAAATCACTGCTTTCGAGGGCCTAATCTCTCTCGCCGGGAAGATGCGGGTCCCCAGTCTACTGACTGCCACCCTCCAAGATATCGAAAAAGCGGGTTTCGAGCTTGGGACCATTGTTACCAGGAGTGTAATTACATCAGCGGGTTTGCTCAAAGACAAGGATCTCATCGAACAACAATGGTCGCGCGTAGTCTCTACTTCAGAGGCCAACAGTGCACAGATACCGTTCGAAGACTGGATTACACTCACCAAAGCTTGCAGACGAGCTGATCACGCCGCTTACTTCCGACAACAAATACTGAAGTTAGCGCATACGATCGATATGAGAACGGAGCGACATCTCATCCAGCAGATTGACGTGGTTGAGACTGCACCACCGATTACTCAGGGGTACCAGTACATGACCCTCCAAGATCTAACCTCGGAATTGGACACGCTAAAGACTCAGATGAAGAATGTCGAAGCTGTAGTCATGTCAGGACAACCACTCAGCCTGGTCAAAACGCCATTCTACATGCATCTTGATCCAAACCACGCGTCTTTGGGCTCCCTGGAAAATCTCCGTGTCGTCTACGATGAACTTACCACTGACCCTCATCAACCGCCCCCTCCACCTCCCGCCAAACCTACCCTTAGCCCAACCAACATACCAGTAGACGAGCTCCGTTTCCTCAATTGGGTCGCTGTCCACGAGATGATGGACTCGGCTGAATCCTACCAATCCGACCTCGAATACGCCATGAAAGCCGCCAAGGACGCTGGTCAGCCTATGCCCACTCGACCAGAGGTTCTTCGTCTCGGTAACGAAGATCCTCCAGTTAAGCGTACTTTTTCCGAACTGCGCCGGAAGATTAAACAGCTACGTGGGTCTAGTTTCCCTGACCCTAGTGAGACTGTGAAGTCCAAGGGGGTTAGAAGGGTTCAATCGGGCCTTATGAACCCAGTCAGTATTCCCAAGGAGGGTGAGAAGGGCTTGCAAAAGTTGAGATACTATGTATCCATGCAAAGTGATCACGAAGCTCCGTTCAAACCATGGAAGAAAATCGAAATAGGTGGTGCCAAGGTTGGAGAGACGTCTGAAGAAGCTCCGAAAAAAACCAAGAACGAGGAACTTCAAGAAGGAAAGACAAAGAAACAAGTATCGACTGAAATCAAGAGTGAGGGTAGCCAGGCCTCACCGTTGTAAGTAAGTGGTGATAACATAGTCACTTGAATAACAGACATACCTGCACAGAACAGTCACATACACGAACTTCACTCCACACAAACCAAACTCCCCATAAACACGAAAAGATTTCCACAAACAAAGTCTATTCATTGTCATAATACATTTCCATAACACATTTCTATAAACAAGTCTACGCCATCCTCTTAAAAAATCACCCATCACCTGATCGGGCGAACTCTCTGCGGCTCACAGTCCCTCTTTACAAGCTTCTTACCATTGTACTCCGGCCAGCACGTGCACTAGGTACACTTGTGCCAGTTACAAAATGAGCCTTCTCCCTCCCCATAGTAACAGTTTATCCCGGTATCGCCATCGGCGCAGTATCTCTTCTAAGAGGCAAAAGACTTGGTTAATCAGCAAATGACTTGGATAGTTAGGAGGGACGAGGGGAGGTATTTACCCTAGCAACTAGACGGCTGCTGCGTGCAACCGGAGATGTGTTTTCGGCTACGTTCCATTCGCCGGCGGGTGCCCTACCGGCAAGGAGAGGCTCGGTGGGCGGGTTTTCAGGGCTCCGGGAAGCTTCGTCGTTGGATTCATCTACGGGGGACCTGCTGGCGAGGGGTGGGTTTTCGGGGCCCCAGGGAGCCTCGTTGTTGGATTCGTCTACGGGTGCCCTGGCACGTAGAGAGGAGGTAGTTCCGGGGAGTACGTTCCATTCGCCGGCCGGCGCCCTGGCACGCAGAGAGGAGGTAGTTCCGGGGAGTACGTTCCATTCGCCGGCCGGCGCCCTGGCACGCAGAGAGGAGGTAGTTCCGGGGAGTACGTTCCATTCGCCAGCCGGCGCCCTGACACGTAGACGCCTGCTCAGAGCCGGAGAGGTAGTTCCGGGGGATAGCAAACCCTCGTCAACGGGCGCGGCGGCGGTGAGCGTGGCCGCTGTGAGGAAGAGAAGGTATGCGGTGGCTTTCATGGTGGGAAGTTGTGTGGATATGGATATGGATGAGTTGGTTGGATGAAAGGATGTGTAGGAACGACTTGTCCTTGGGGAATTGACAAAGTTTATATAGATTTTTTTTCAAGAGCGACCAAGACCGTCACCCCACCTACTTCAACCTACATCGTCGCTACCCCTGCCCTATTCTCTACCCTAGACCCACCCACCGCGTAAGCGTAAAAAGCCTCACGCTAAAAAAACCCACACATGCCTGGTATGCAGACATACCAGCGACGTTCTTTCTAGGCAGTGTCATACCAGTGGCCTCTCCTTAAACGAAATTCCGGCAAGCATCAGAATTGGTACATTTACGACGCGTCAGCTCCTTGTTGTCCCGCTTTGGATAACACGAGCATGCCGTGCAATCGTGGTAGTAACAGTCCCCCCCATCATAGTAACAAGTTAATCCGGCCTTAAAGAAGCACATTTTTTTCTGAGAAAGTTCATAAGTTTATCCGTGAGTTGGATAGTTGGGAGGGATGGGGGGATCGATCTTTACATCTTCCCTAGCAAATAGGTCGCTGCGCGCGTCCAAAGACGAGGGGAGCGCGGCGGTGGTGAGCGTGGAAACGACGAGGATGAGGAAGTAGGTGGGGACTTTCATGGTGGGGGTGTGGAGGATAGATTAAGTATTAATTATGTTGAATAGCGGCGTATGTAGTAAAGAAGTATCCTTGGGGTGTTTTACGACAAAGAGAAAATAAAGGTTAAGGGATTCTTACCTGTTGGTTGGCTTTGCACTAAGTGCGTAAAGGGAAATAACGATATCTAGGAATGCATTCTGTTCGGTGGTTCTAATTGATATCTACGAACATAGGTGCTACGAAGGTATACCTAAGCTCTTGCGCAAGGTGGGCCGAAGTCGGGCCGAAGTGTCCAGCAGCCGACGTCTCTACCGATACTCACGATCCGACACTTCCCGAGCTTCCACCACCAACACCAACACCAACACTCCTCTCCACTCTCATCTCACATCGTCGCTGCTCCTACCCCAGAGGGCTACAAAGCTTAGACGCTAAGCCCGATTTAACTGTAGTATGTGCTATGACAGTAGTCTTGGCATCTCCACAGTGACAACTTTCTAGCCTTCGGTGCGCCTGCCCCCATAAGCATAAAAACCCTCAACCCCCCAACCGCCTCACACACGCCTGTCTCCGCCTGTGCAGCCATACCAGTGAAGCCATATCATCAGGGATTTGGACAATAATCGGCACAGTCACGTTGAACTAGCGGATACTTGCCATCGAATTTCTCTTCGCACGTGCAATAGTCGCATTTGTGGTGGGCACACTGCTTTCCCCCCGTCTTCTCCCCGTAGTCAAACTAACAGTTTATGCCATCGTTAGCCAAGCAAGGTTTTTTCTAAGCAAATAAAATTAGTTTATCGTTAACTTGGATAGGTTGGGAGGGATTGATTTTCAACATACACCCCTAGCGAATAGGTTGCTGCGCTCGTTTAAGGATGTACCTTCGTCGCGGGGAGAGGGCGCGGCGATGGTGACATTCGAAGCCGCTGCGAGAAAGACGAGATAGGCGATGGCTTTCATGGTGAGGTGGTTGGATACAAGATGCAAAGACGCCTTAGTTTTAGGTGTAGGATGGTGTAGCGAGGATGGTCTTTATGGAGTTTGTGGTATATCAATGGTGGAGATATATATGGATTTCTCAAAACCTCGACCTTTTCCCACTGAGTTGACCGAATTTAATGAGGATGAAAGGATAGGCACATGAGCGTAGACGTCCTGTGATATGTAGTGCCGGCAAAGCTACCTAGGCAGCGAGACAACTAGCCCAAAGACCTAATCGCGGCCTGTGCAGCTGGCAGTATACCTAGACAGCCAATTCTAATAACATTAGAGCGTAAGCGCTAATGGAACTAATTTGGCGTTATCTCTGTATCTGGTAGTTTTCACGGATGACATTTTGCAAATAGCATTTCTGTTAGGCCTACGCAATGCGAGGTGTACAATATATACTATTCTACCACGATGATCAAGACTTCACTGATCATAATGTCAGAGCGTAGTGGGCGTAGACCTACGTTCTGACAGTTTCTCCAGCTTACATACACGCAATCAGACGCTTGATCGGCGGCGATGACGTAAGTAAGCGAAGGCAGCCCCGAAAAATCCAAAGGAGCTGTCTATAAGCTATGCTTGAAGCGAGAGCAGACGTGCGTTACGGTAGACCAGTAGGTGACAGAGGTTTCTTTGCTGGTAGGTACTAAGGTGGCGTTTCTAAGTGGAGAGAAACACTGCCATTTCAAAACGTATGTGGGCAAAAGTAATGTATTGTAGAAGAAGTCTCAAGAACCATTCACCTCAATGGGAAGGGGAGCTATATACCGTACTCCGGTATGGCCCATGCGCTATGTATGTCACTTGACATGTGACATATGTCGCGAGAATAGATTCACGGTTCGGACGGACTCTTCTTGGACATGCCGAGATAGAGCTGACATATGATATGCAGTTCACCAGCTAGCTGTTCTTCACGTCGTTACATCTCCAAGATAGATGACTATGTTGTTGGCTAACTAGGCTATATAGTGACTCCATTGACGTCGTGTTTGACTCTTACCTAAGCGACTAACTACCACCCTTGCTCCTTTATAGTGTCAACTGCTTCTCAAGTCATAAACTTTTCAAGCATCAGAGAAAGCAAGGTAAACGTTGCGTGGGAAATGGTAACAGAGAGTGTCATATCAATGATTTCTTATTTTATCGTGGTATAATGTCACTCACACCCAGACTCCGCAACAATCAATCGGATCGGCATGATTGATTCCTATCTAGGTTAAAGGCTGCCTAATGAAGTAATTCTTTAACCTATATAGGAATCAATCATGTCAATCGATTGATTGTTGCGGAGTCTGCTCACACCACACCAAAACCGGGAGGGAAAGTTGTGCGGGTATGACAAAACCGAAGAGGAAGGTTGATCGCTTACCTACATTCTGATCTTCGTCATCTTTCTCTCTGCATTCTTCTTCCCCTTTTCTTTCCTTACATTAGCCCGCCCTTGTCCCTTTCCGATCTCTTTCTCCAACCTCATATCAAACATCCTTCCCGTACCTTACCTGACCTTACGTCGCTCCCTCCCCTCCCCTCCCACTCCCACTCCCACCCCGGACCGCTCCTGCTCCTCACCCGAAGTAAATTGGGACCCCAGGAATCGGTCCGAAGCCGGTGCGGAACGGCGAGCGCAGCTGATGTAAGCCGTGAGGATGTAAGCCCGTGAGATGAAATGAGATGACATGGCGACGGCGTCATGGCGACGATAGTCCAGTCGCCGCAGAGTGAGTGGGCTTATGTGATGTTGATATATCTGGTAGGTGTGCTAGGATGGCCGTTGCTTTCGGGGTGTTTGTGGTTTGTCGGGAAGTGGTTGCGGGATAGACCCGCATGTAGACTCCGCAACAATCAATTCAATCCGGTCACTCTCCTAGACCCACTTACCTATCTAGGTAGGGCTTAAACTCCTATAGGTAACTACTAGGCTTAAAGCGGTAATCAATCAATCCAATCTGAACCTTCTAGGACCCACTTAATTGATTGTTGCGGACTGTGCCCGCATGGATGGTATGGGCTCTTCGATCGCGGGGGAGAATGTGGGGTGGACTGGTGGTGTAAGATTCTTGTGATTAGGGAATGGTGTGTAAGATCAGACAAACAAGGCAGAAGCAGCAGCAGCAGCAGCAGTAGCAAGTGTGGGAGTTTGTCAGACTGAATATCAGGGTGTGTCAAATAGATGTCATCATTGTAAGACACAAGAAGAGCGGTAATTCAAGTGAAATCTTTTTCCCCGGAATGATAAAATTGCATTTACCAAAATAACCCCCCGTGTAACCGCCAACCCCAGCCGTGAGGCATAAGCCGCGGTCTAAATCCCCGACACCCACCCCGCTTAAAACAAATGCAAAACCAAGAAATAAAATGTGCCGGCCCAAAAGCCAACTAAAGTGGAAAGTGGAAAGATGAGAAGAGGAATCGTAACAAATGGTGACAAAGGCAGCGAACGGTCAACGCGCAGACAGATGCCAAAAACATATAACCGCGTCTCCAGTGTAGATAAGAAAACTCCAAGTTCTCCATCCAAAAACCCGCTAAGTGCAAACCATGTGAATCAAAAAGTCCGGGTAAGAAGAAGAAGCCCGTTGTCTTTAGTTGGAGCTGCCCCTTCTGCTGTGGGCTGGCGTGCTGGGGAAGGTAAAGTCGACTGGTGATGGTGGTGGTGCCGGTGTCTCGTTCACGTCTGATGAGCGTGAAGTCGGACCCGAGGATGCCTTGAAGGCTGCGCTGACATCGTGGCCAAGAGTTGAGTTTGTGAAGATGGAGAGGCGCTGACGAGGGTTGAAGACGGATGCTGTTGATGATGGCATTTTGAGCGTTTGCGATGTGTATGTTTTGTTTTTGAGTTGAAGTGCGAGGTAGCGATAGTATGTGAGCGATGCTTCAGGTACCGGTAAAGGAAGATGTGATAGCGGCAAAGGTCAATGTAGACGGATTAAGTACTGTTCGGAATGCCGAAAGTTGTTACGGGCCGTATGCGAGGATGCGCTGTTGCGATGCAGGCAAAGGTATTTGTTTTCGGGGGAAGGCGCAGGATATTGATGTGCTGTCTTAGGCTGGCTCGGTAACAAGGCTGATGCGAACCTAAGGAATAGGTGAGTCAGATTTAGTATCAATGATAACGGGTTGCCGTGGTTGCGACAGGGCTTGGGCTTGGTGCGTTGGCATGTGCCGGACACAAGCCTGCCTAATTTGGCAGAGCCTTGTGTTCGAGCCTGGTATGGAAAAGAAGGCTCCGGTTGGGGATGACTTACTGGGTGTTGGGCGGCTGCCAATGATAGAGGAGTGTTAGGCGAACGTGCGTGTCGTAGTGGAAGGCGTTGTGTGTTGTGTAAATTACCCGTCGAGTAGGAAGCGAGAATGGGACTTTCGGGTATGTATCGAGGAAGCGCAGAGGCTGTGTTTGAGGGTCGATCAGGAAGTGTCAAGAAGATGACGTGTGTTGGTATGAGTCTTGGATTGGGAAGCTGAGGCGTGTTGCAATGGGTAAAAAATGACGATACCGCGCTGAAGGGGGGTGCTTCTCTTATACCTGAGTACAAGGGCAAGGTACCAGTGCAATGACTTTTCACCGCCCAAACGACAACCCTGACTCGCATCATTTGAAAGATACAAGGGCTCATGGGAAGGGTAAGACGCTTTGAGTCAAAAGCAAAACTGTATCAGCAATCAGGCGCGCGGCCACACGGGGAAGCGGACGGTTGCGACGACTCCTTGCTTCGCAACCAACGTTGTACATGGGGCGCAAAGTTCACCCCACGCCCCGATCCTATCAGGGTTACAGAGTCGAGGCGATTTTGGGGCGCTTATCAAAGTGTCTGAGGTGCTGGGCCCGATGCGAGGCGAAGACGCACGCAACAGACAAGGCGCGCATCCCGTCACCCGTTCTGCAACCTCGCGCGCATTCTTCATCCGGACCGTGATAATGCGAGAGCAGACGGACTGAAGAAGCAAACCAATCGAATGCAGCCAGGCGCAGACAGAAGCCGATGGTATGACGTTGAGAACCAACAAAAAACAACACAGTGTCCTTTGGACTCCTGGCTGTCGCCAGCACGCAAGCAAGGCATCATCCAGCCGGACCGAAGTCATTCTCTGACCGCTTCTCCATGATGCATATGCACATCCCACGCGAGGCTTGCGGCAGCGTAGCATGGGGTAAGCTAAGTGGAGCTCCGGGCTGCATTCCCCGGATACCAACGCCCTGGGATTCGCCCAGTCGCAATGAGGCGCCTGGAACTTTGTCTGGAAACTCCGCTCTGATCGCCAGGATAATGCGCAACAACTTCCTGATGGCCGCCCCAGGCAGACTCCGCAACAACCGCCTTTCATACCGCGTGTCATGGAGTCTGGGGTTACACTGCTTGTGAGGCGCCCGGCATGGGAGTCCCGGACAGGCAAAAACTATGTTTCGTGTTGCAACACGGGAATAATGACCGCAACGACTTTCCGGCTAGGATGCTCCTTTGGGCTTCGAGAAGGTTGTTGGAAGGACGCTCGAGCCGACTCCTGTCGCGACCAAACATTTCTGGTAGGGAACCGACCGGCAGAAGTGCGGTAGAAGAGTTAAGTTCTCAGACCTCCTGCCGTCCTGCGTTGGACTCTGCCAGTTTGTCACTGTTGTGCTCGCCCAGAGGCGGACTGGCAAAGCGTGCTTTGGAGCTCTTTCGGCGCCGCCAATACTTTCGCAACAGCGCTATGCCGGTCGCCGCGACAGCATCTCGATGCGCTGCGCGTCGTGCTGTAGCCTTGCAAAAATTCGCACGCTCTCCGCATCATCCGAACGACGACTCCACCAGGACCTGGGCTATGGGAAAGTCTCCGGGCGGCCTTCAACCGTACGGCGCATCCCGTCTCTGCTTGCTTTTGCCAAACAATAGCCTGAACCAAGCATAACCTGTCATCACATCATTCCACTGCGACACCGAATAGGAAGCCATGGAACTAGCATGTCACGTCTTGACTATTACCCCATCGTGGGCGAGATAGGGTAGCCCAATCTCCGGCACTTTTCTTTTCCAGAACCTGTTTGAGCAGCCCGCAATCCCCGGACTGACGGACTGCGGGCGGACTGGCTGATGTGGGGGAGATTGATCCTCGCTGCTCGCTCTTCAAACATGTCCGCCACTTTGCGCAACGTCGCCTGCCGATGCTGCAGAGACCAGGAAAGACGTCGTACAAGTGATGCGGCACCGTGTTCCGCATGCGAGCTGCCTCTCGCCCTCAATCCGGGGTTTGGTCATTGGTGAGGCGACGATTTTAGTTTTCTTCCTTGACCTCGCCGTCGGCTGCAGCGTCCCGACCAGAATTTCCCATTCTCTTACCGCCTATTGCAGGGCCTTCACCGCAACTCAGTTGCAGCGACAGTTGTAAGGAAGAAACAGGCGTTGGATGTGTGCTTTGCAACAACGACATGGGGTGATCTGTGTGGGTGGGGAACACTATATCGGATCAGGTAGGCATTGCTTGGCGTGCGATAGCCCAGGGAAGGTGCACAGGATATGCTTTCTACGCCACGACACTTCAACCCCTGCTCCTGGATCCGTCAAAAAGCTGGTACTTTAGTAGACGCGGCTCTTGTAATTTCTGTTGGCATTTCATCGAAAACGCCGTCGCCATGTTGTTTCTTGGGCGAGCCGTTGAGCCCGTGATTGCGACATGGAGTGATACACATGACTTTGTAGTCTCAAGGGACGAGTCAGATATCAACGTTGGGCATCTACCATGGTTTCTGAGCATGTTATTTGCCTTGATTTTGTCTTGTCGCACCGTTGATGGCCATCGAATTAGGTTGTCGACGAACACTTTGACCAGGGACATGGTTCACTAACGCTGTGGCAATTGGGATCATGCTCGTTCAATATTTTCATTTATTTCCTACTCTATAAGCGTAGACATGATAACCACACTAATGACGTGCATGCCTGCATCAGACATGGGTATGTGGAAAGAAGGTATGATTTATATTATGATATTAGATCGAAAGCCTACTGCATAGAATCGAAACAAAACGGTTGTGAAGCTCTCAAACCCCAAAGGATCGATATGAAGATACTGCGAAGCTACTCAAACGAGTTTGCGCCCCTAGGAAGATCGAAACCTGGGCAACTTCTTGCGAGGTTCATCAATTGAGAAGTCTTCGAGCTTGAGGTTCCTTCTCCAGGCCTGGACCTTCTCAGTGTGCACCTTCTCTTCTGCAGTGAGCTCGCGCTTGTACAAATCTCGACGCGATTTACCATGACCCCCGAGACTACCAGTCGTGCAATGGTTCTTACCACCCCAGGCAGAGTCCGCAACAGCCTTCCAGCTAGTAGATACATCGACATACATCTCCTTGGTGTACATAATGCGGCAGTTTGCAGGCTGGTAGACAAACTGTATAGGAGTATTCGACGAATCTCCTTCACGGATCGCGTCTACCAAGTTGATGTTTGATACCGATCCCGCGGCTGCACGGTATAGGGTAGTAAGACCGTCAGTGAGATATTTGCCGAGAGGGGATTTCGAAAGCCAGTCTGCCTCCTCGCGTGTGCTGAGATTTTCGATTGAGGCCTGAAGGTTGTAGTAAATGACCTCCCAAGACATTTGTTGTATTCCCTTGCTACCCCCAACGGCTTGCATCGGATCTTTACCTGGGCGGCCTCCAATGACAACAGTCTTGACATTCTGAATGCTTCGCATGAGTTCCACAAAACTAGCGCATGTCGAGGAACATAAACCGTTGGTGAGTATGACTATATCGCTAGCTGCGAATGGCTGCTGCTGCTTGGCGTAGGATGCATACCGATGATCGCCGATATCGAACGACCACGGAGTGGTTAGATCATATCGGAAGAGGTTTGTAAAGCTGACACCGTTCTGCGTCACACCTGGACCGAAAAACGCCTTTGCGTTTGCGAAGTTCTTTCCCTGTGAATTCTTGACCGTGTGGGCGTTGAAGATGTTGCTGGTATAAAAATTGGTGTCTTCCAGTCCGTTGTACTTGGGTGTAATGTCCCTGGTAGGAGGAAATTTTTCGCCAAGTTTGGTCATTTTCTCGATTACTAACTTGGTTGCATTGTTCGCACGTACACGTAAAGTCGATGATTGGTCGCGTCCGTGCGGGAATAGGATTTTGAATAAATTAAACGCGTTTGGTACCAACCCGCCAGGGTTGGTTGAAAGATCAATGATGAGTTTCTTCTTTCCATCTGCCTTAGCCTTTGTGATAAACTTCTCTACTGTATTGTAGAAACCGTCGATAGGTTCAGCGCCGGAACGAAAGGTAGGTACGGAAAGCACGGCGACATTGGAGTAGTGGCCATCAAGGTAGTATCCACTAATAAGCATGTTGACTGGATCATCCCAGACAATTGGTGGCGGGTATCCTTCCATCGGCTCGGGCGTCGAAGTTTTGTTCTGGTCACCAGATCCACCAGACGACTCATTAGACGTCCCGTTAGACGTCCCGTTAGACGAATCTTGAGACACCCTCTTTGGGGTGGTGAAATAGGCTTGGTACAGACTCGCTCCATCGGTTATGCCATCAAAGGAGGCATAGACATTAGCCATGTTTTCGTATGACTTGGAAGTGCCGTTCGCAAAACGGTACTCCGTCGTAGGACCGTCATAAACAGAATTTGTTTCCCCACCCGATTTGAATGCTCCCATAATGAACATCATACTGTCTGAGAATGAACCAGCTTGCGTGGTAAATTGGGCATTATAGGCTGCGTCCAAGTCCGTGTAATAAGTCCACTTTGACCAGTCATGAAGATATGACTGAACGTCTCTGCCGTTGATGTGTGTGATTGGCGAAGCCTTGAATGAAGATTTTCCCAGATTTTCTTGCATTATATCACGATACGAGTAGATTTCCGGGAGGCTATCCTTGCTGGAGGCAACGGAGACAAGAGAAGGAGCGGTACGACGGAAAGCGAAATGAGTGGCCGCGATGTCGGGAACAAATTGGAACAGGTCGTCATGAGCGAATGTGAAGATTTTTACAAGGTCCATGCCAAACTAACAAATTAGTCTCTATCTATGATGTTTGCATCGGAAGGGGAAGCTTACCGCATGTTCGCTTGCATAAGATCGCGAGGCGACTTTCGCCCGAACTTTCTCTAATTCCCCATAGATATCATAACGTGGTCGTACCTTCGCGACGAAATCTTGCGGTGGGTTCTTGAGAATGGCAGTGGTAGATTGAAAGTCGACAAATAGCTTGATGCCATTGACGAGAGTGGCTGCAGCGGTCTGGTTGAACGGCACTGAGTTAAGACATTCTGTAAAAGTTAGTCTAAATACTCGTAATACGCAACATTTCTTGAGCACTCTTACCGTAGGCAAGTTTCGCAGGTACACTATATACATCTGGGTCAGCAGTAAGGTTGGCGATCTGCGCACAAGGACTCGTCTTGCCAGCCCGTGCACGGATTTGCGCGTCCGAGGGCAGGCGTGCAGAAAGCCCATTAGAGGCCAGCGAAAGACACACAAAGACGTTTAGAAAAAAGAAACGAACCATATCCGCGACTCAATGGGGTAGTAGGTAAAGACTGAAGAGGGTGATAGCGACTGGATAGGGTGCCCAGGTGGCAATGACTGTATAGACTCCTTGGGATCAAAAGCGATCTCAGTCTTTCCCTAAGGACTTCTTCATAGCAACTGTACCGCGAGCACTATATATACAGCCGGCTGCGCGTAATAGTCCCCTGCGACCAACACTTTGCTACCCAGATGGGAACCACTTCTCCGACTAGCTTGCTCTGAGTACGTGAATCAAGGGGTAAAAGTTGACCACATAGATCATCAAATCAATACGGATATTATTGCATCTGTGTACCATAACTGCTTGCCTGTACGTTGTTACAACGAATTGCGTTGTGAAAATCTGCTGCTAAGCATCGACACCACTTACATGTACCATCATCATTGCATCTGTACCGTCTGTGCGTTGCTGACACTATTCCAACTGCGTCAACAGAACTTGCTTGTAATATGGCTACTGATTGTCTGTTAGTCGAGCAAGTCAAGCTCATCTGATAGACGAGTAATGAACTCGCCTCTACTGTAACAAAGCGCGTTGCTGTGAACATACCGCGAAAATGGCACCCCGAATACTTGGTACATTTCTCATCAACGTGTTGGTCACGTTTCAGTCTGACTGACCGGGACAAATCAAATTGCGGTAGTCGACCCTAAAAATAACCTCCAGTGCTGCACGAACCAGAACAACATGAATAATAATTCGCCGAGCCATGACCGTAGACCGTAACACGAATGTTCGAATTATACTTTGCAGCCATCTGTTGTTGCCTCACATCCTCGTTGCGCGCTTTCTCGCATAAATTTTTCAAAGAGCCCATAGTTGTCATCTAGCAACTGCCGAAAACAGACCTGCGTCAAGGGTAAGCAGTACAGTAAGTATAACCAAAATGAGCATGGTCGACAATCCTGCACCGTATATGAAATTTGGGGGAGATTTGCTAGAACGCGCCGTGCGGCTGTAAGATGGTCAGTCGCAGGACATGATCTGATATGACGTCATTGGAATAAAGCGTCATTGGAATAAAGCATAACATGATCCATGGGCGAGCGGCGCACACGGGCGAGCGGCGCACCCCACCAACTTTTGCAACTTTAAAGCGATGCATCTCAACAACGCGATAATATTATTGCTAGATATTGATACAGTAGATTACTCTATATTAATAGTATCAGTCTTGCATGTGCGCGAGTTGTGCCCAGTCTCCTTGCACCTAGTGCAGCGCCTTTGAGCCCGCTGGCTGAGGCCTGATCGCGCTCCTCCTTGACGCTCTTCATGAGCAATCTGCTGGTCAGCCTCATTTTGAGCCAGTATATCCTCTCCAGCTCCCTTTGTGAGTACTCCATGCTTCTGTATACGCCTTTTAGAGCGCCGCCTACGCTCTGAGGCTGCGCTATTGGCCTTCTCAAGACTAGAGATCCGATCGCGCATCAGCTCAGCAGAGAGCATCATCACCTCGGCGCCCTTCTTTAGCTGGTCAATCGCCATAATAATTGAAGCTGGTGATGAGCTCTTGTGCTGGCGCACGCGCTCACGTATTAGGCTTGACTGAGCCTCAAGCTCACGCGCGTTGCTCGGCGTTTGAGCTACCCAGGGAGCCTCTGGCAGAGCTGCTGGAGGAGTAGGTGTACGCAGTTGTACATCTACCTTTGATAGAACAGCCTCTGGTTGTAGAGGAACAAGGCCTGCGCCGCGGAAGGCTGAGCAGATATTGGCTGGCGTGAACGCTTGATCAAATGCTGCCTTGAACGCTGGCAGAAACTCTAGCTTGGTGATGTGGTTGATGTGGTTGCGCATAAGGCTCTCCACCTCACGGCTGTACGCGCGCTTCAATGGCGAGAAGCAGCCAACATCAAGTGGCTGGAGTAGGTGAGATGAGTGAGGAGGCATACAGAGCGTATGGATATTGTTCTCCTTGCAGAGCTCCTGGAACTCTAGAGATTGGTGGCTCTTATGGCCATCAATAATAAGCAGGCGACGCGCGCCTACACTACGAGCCTGCGTGTGAGCGTTGAAGTGCTTTAGCCACTCAACTCCAAGCTCATTATTCGTCCAGCCATTATCGCTGACTGCGATCGCCCAGTCGCGTGGGATCTCAGCTTCCTTATACCAGGCTGATAGGTGGTACTGGCCAGCGAAGATGAGGAACGGTGGGACTGACCAGCCAGCAGCGCTGATAGCAGCGATCAGCGTTACCCACTCGCGATTGCCTGGCTGAATACTCTTCGGCCTGCCTCTCCTCTCTGCTCCTGTTATAACTAGCTGCGTTGTAATCTTGCCCATCATAAAGCCAGCTTCATCAAAGTTGTAGACGTCCTCATCGCAGATACCTAGCTCAGCCTTTGTCTCTTCTACAAGCTTAAACCACCTCTTTATTAATGTTGCATCCTCACAAAGAGCTCTCTGCCTATCGTACGCTTGGTTGAAACACGTCCGAAGACTGTCTGTACGCTTAACAAAGGTAGATGGCCAGTTGACTCCAACCTGCTCTCCACCACGCGCAGCCAGCAGCTTATCAGCCATATCACGTACAGCTGTGTAGGTAGGCGCAAATCCACGCAGATCTAGCTGAAGTATATAGCTAATAATCACCTCCTCTTCTCTCTGGGTAAGCTTCCTTGAGTTGGGCGGGCAATCGCGTCGGGCAGGTATACCAGCGCGTCGGCGGCGGAGCGTTGTTTCGGCTACGTTGTAGACTACTGCAGCAGTACGGGTACCTTGGATCTGGTGCGCATTAATAGATGAGATAGCAAGCTGAATATCTGCTTCATTTGATAGTAATTGAGTAGCGCTGCGTTGAGCCATTGTAGATTAAGATCAGTAAGGTGAGTAAAGTTGGTGGGGTGCGCCGCTCGCCCGTGTGCGCCGCTCGCCCATGGATCATGTTACTAGCGGGGTAAGGGGAGCTAAGTTAGTTCGTTCAGGAAGAAAGGTCGCTCCTCCCTAAGAAAGCCCAAAGTTATCTTGGAAAGAGCAAAAGAAGGGTTCTAGTACAAACTACAACATTTCCTAGCGTTCCAAGATGCGACTTCAGCTAAACAAAGACTGAATCGCCTCAGAATCAAATTTTTGATTTGATTAACTCGCTCTCAAAATCCCAAGACAACGTATCAGACACAGCTCTTCAAACCCTCAGTAACCTCTTCCCGAATGAGGTGAGCAGTGCTTCTACATCAGGACGTACAGCCCTGGCAACAAAAAGTCTGGAATTTTTCATCTACCCGCCACAAGATCTCATCTCCTAAGCACTAGCCTCGGCGGTATTTTGGCGGCCCGCGATGCTGCCTCCCTTCCAACCCTGCTTCGGATCGCTCTTCGCCTGCACTCTACTTTCCTCTCCTTCCTTGCCCCAGCCACCACCACCAGGAGTATGAATGATGATGCGCTCGCCAGGCTTCATACTCGCTGTGTTCTTGGCGCCGAGGTTGATATATCTGTATTCGACGTCTTGTTGCTTCTGCCCGGCATCTTTCTTCTGCAAAGCTTCGACGGCATCGGAAGTAGTAGGCTGTGCATCTGTTGATTCCTGCGGTTCAGTCGGCCGCTTGGAGTCTGAGTTCTTGTCAATGGCCTTCTTGTCGACTTTACGGACCCAGATGTTGAGACCACATGCTGCATCGCCGCCACCTTCCATACCATATGGATGGTAGACTCTTCTCTCGCTCAGGATGCTTACTTGGACAGGAATGCGGAACTCGATGTCTCTAATCACACCTTCACCACCCACATGCATGCCTCTTCCCCTGCTGCCCTCTCTTAGAGAGAATTCGCGCAAGAGAACAGGATACCTTCGCTCAAAGACCTCGGAATCGGTTATACGAGTGTTGGTCATGTGCGTGTGTACACCATTCGTGCCATTCCACGTGGGTCCTGCACCGGAGCCACCAGCGATAGTCTCGTAGTATCCGAATCCACGAGTTTCCTTCCTCTCCCCAGTCCTGCCTTCTCCTTCACCAAATGTCGTGCCACCGAATCCAAAAGTAAGGTTATTGGTATCTCCTTGACTAGCTGCACATGCACGGAAAGCTTTCAACACTACATCCGTAACACGCTGACTAGTAAGAACGTTACCGCCCACCACTGCAGCGTTATCGGAAGGCGAGAGGAAAGATCTCTTTGGGATCAGGACGTGTATTGGTTTCAGGCAGCCCTGATTCAAAGGTATATCTTCGCTGATCAAACATCTTAGACAGTAGATGATTGCCGAGTAAGTGACTGCTTCAGGAGCATTGATGTTACCATAGACCTCCGGACCTGTGCCAGAAAAGTCAAAGACTGCCTCGCCTTTTTCGGGATCAATGGAGACTTTGAGGCGAATGGGACTTCCATCATCCATGAACTCTTCTGCGCTCAGATCCTGGCCCTCAAAACGTTTGTAGACATCCTTCAGCAATGCACGGACAGACTGTTCGGCATTTGCTTGAATGTTAGTCATGTAAAACTTGACAACTTGCTCGCCATAGTCGGACATAAGGGTACTGATCAAATTGATGCCCTTTTGGTTGGCTGCTACTTGCGCCTTGAGATCATTGATGTTGTCGCTCAGACATCGGGTACCAGAACAACCTGGGTATTGGCCTGGCTCATCGAGCAGAAGCTCGGTGATGCGCTTCTCATTGAAGTGACCTTCTGATACCAGCTTCTCGGATTTGATAGCTGCGCCTTCCTGATATAGCTCTTTGGAAGCTGGAGGCATGGATCCAGGCAAAATTCCACCAATATCTGCGTGATGAGCGCGAGATGCAACATAGAAGATGATGTTGTCTCCACTAAAGGCAGGCGTGATTACAGTGATGTCAGGCAAGTGGGTGCCACCGAACATGGGGTGGTTGGACACTAGCACGTCGCCTTTCTTGAGCTTGCCCTTCCAGATGGCAGCCTGTTTACGGACGCACGTCGACATGCTGCCGAGATGGACGGGCAGATGGGGAGCTACAAGATTGTTAGCATAAGTACGCAGCACAAGGAAAAAATCGGCTTACCATTGGCGACCAACCCACCATCTTCGTCAAATAATGCACAGGAGTAGTCCAAGCGCTCTTTGACGTTTGTGGAGACGCTGGTCTTCTGTAATGCGCGACCCATTTGTTCTGCGATAGCCATGAATCGATGTGCGAAGATACTTAGCAAGATCGGGTCCACCTCTTTTGTGCTGATTTGCTTGACCTGATCCTCGGTATCGCCAATTTTGATAACTACATGTGTGTTGATGACAAGCGCAGTCGCGCCCGGTGTGACGACGATAGTCTGCGTACCGTCCGCAATGATTGCCGGGCCCTTCAGGCGGTCGCCAACTTCTAGGTTTTCTAGCTTGTAGACCGAGGTATTCTGCCGTCCACCCTCAAAGAATACGTTGCGTGTATCATAGCGCTTCTCATCCCCAGAAATGTCTCTTGGCCGGATCTCCTTCAATTGTTGATCTACGCTCTTCTCTAGACCCTCGAATGTTTTGCCGATACCACGTGCTCTCACATCATCGACAATGATGTCGCGATCCGGAAGGGTAAAGCCAAACTCTTGCTCGTGTTGCTTGACAAAAGCCTTTCCAAAAGCCCACTCATCGCCATCGTATTCCTGCTCGGCCTCCTCCTTGGTCGGCTTGATAACCATGAGCGCCGACTCGGTGCCGCGATATCTCAAATTGAGGTACTCTTCGAAGTGAACGTGCTCTTGATCAAAACCTTGTTTCTGCAGTGTAGCTGCGGATTTGCTCTTGAGGTCTGCCATCTTGTTTTGCAAATATTCTCTGACTTGCTTGTCGTCCGACCAGACCTTCGACTCCGGCTCCTGTCTCTCATCCACAACGTCAGCCAGCGCCATGCCATAAGCTGAAAGTACTGATGAGTACCGATGAATGAGGATTTGAGAGATGCCAAGTGCTTCTGCAATGGCCACAGCATGCTGCCCACCGGCGCCGCCAAATGTTGCGAGTCGGTGTTTTGATGTATCATGACCGCGCGCTTCGGTCAGACTACGGATCGGCCGTGTCATAGTTTCGTTGGCAATTTTGATGAAGCCGTTAGCAATGTCGTCTAGCGACATCTCCTTGTCCTTGTTGCCGCCCGCGATTTCCTTGTTAATCTGTACTGCTAGTTTTTTGAAGAGCTTCTCGCTTGCCTCGGCATCGAGGCCCTCGTCTTCATTTTTCCCAAAGATTTTGGGGAAGAAGTCGGGCAGCAGGCGGCCGAGAAAGAGGTTTGCATCAGTAATGGTCAATGGTCCACCCTTGCGATAACATGCAGGACCCGGATGTGCACTGGCTGACTCTGGGCCTACGACGAAAAGTCCGTTCTTCCAGAAGAGACGCGACCCGCCCCCTGCTGCGACCGTGTTGATGTCGAGCTGAGGCGACTGGATAGTGACGCCGGCGGTGGTAGTTTCAAATACGTGATCGTAACGCCCAGCCCCGTACCTGCTCACGTCTGTGCTCGTGCCGCCCATGTCGAAACCAATGACGGGAATTTTCGTGGCAGGATCGTAGGAGGTCAGCGCGTAGCCAACGACACCTCCGGCTGGCCCCGATAGGATCGCTTTGAGGCCAGAGAAGATGTCGACGTCGACTAGACCACCATCTGACTGCATAAATTCACATCGCGCGCCCTTTGAGCCCTCCTCTTGCTTCACGCTCTTGGTACCGAGGCCGCCCTCGAAGCCCTTGGAGAAGCCATCAATGTACTTTCGTATCGCAGGTGTGAGATATGCATCAGCACAAGCCGAGGTTGCGCGCGGGACCAGCTTGATCATTGGCATAAGCTCATGGCTCAAGCTGACATGTTCAAAACCAATCTCTCTCGCAATCTTGCCGACCAATGCCTCATGATTTGGATACGTATATCCGTGCATCAAACATACGGCAATACTCTTGAGTCCGCTATCATACACTTGCTGGAGCTGCTTTCTTATCGCCTCGTCCTGCGGCCTTTGTAGTATGCGCACTGTCTCACCAGACAGACCCTTGACCAATTCAGCGTCATCGCCTGCCTCTTCTATGCTCTTTGCTTGCGTCTGCGTCCTCTCTGGGTCTTCTGCATAGTCTTCCAGTGTGACGCGCTCGTCTATCTCCACCACCCTCTTGTACAGCACCTCGGGCTTTCGGATATCCAGGGCGAAGATGTCCGGCCTGCTCTGGTTCCCAATTTCGAGACAGTCCTTGAAGCCCTTGGTCACCACCATGGCAATGTCCTCGCCTTTCCTTTCGAGGAGCGCATTGGTAGCGACCGTAGTGCCCATGCGTATGCTTGCGATCTTGGATGTGTCGAGCGCCTGTCCGCGGGGAATTTCGGTGCCTGTGAACTTGGAGAGAAGGCGACGGATTCCCTCAAGCGGCGCATCCTCGTAGTTGGACGGGTCGACGGATAGAAGTTTGATCACAATGTCGTCTTCCATCTTGCCTGTGCCGGGGTTACCCACGCAGTCGGTGAAGGTGCCACCGCGCTGGTCCTGTTAGCAGACATGGCGCATGGCATGACTTGGGTGAGCATACATCAATGGCGATGCGGATTCCCCGCTCGCTGATCTTTGGGCCTGTCATGTTGAAGATTAGATATCTACCTATGTCGCGTGTGTGGGACAGGTGCACGTTGCGATGACAGCGCGTCGAGACGACAGGAGAACATGAATTGACGGATAAAAGAAAGAGTCGTGGAGAGCAGAAGATGACGTCTAGATTCACAAGGACATAGCATGCAAGCGCAAGCCTCAGGTAACGACATCGACATGATGACTACGCACGAATGGCAATCAAAGAGTGGGGTGCTTGTCGCTGCCCCGCGTGCGCGGGAGCTTTTGTCATTTCGTGTGGCGTCATGTCCGACGTCCTCGCCTATTGAGGACTAGCGCTATGAATGTCCGATTACTACTCCACCACGGCTAACCCCGCCAAACCTCACTTAACGCCAGAAACGCCCTCCTGCTATCCGATGATAAGGGCTTGCACCTCGAAATCAAACACCGTCCGAGACCCACCGTCTCGCAAAGTCCATCCAAGCATCTGCACCACCACTTGCTAGGTACATGAAATCCTCCGGTGTAGCAGCTGCCAACTCCCTATGAATTCCCTCCTTGAATGCATCTTCAGTAAACCCTTGCGTGTATGGGCAGAAGCGTAAGTTAGGAGCTGAGGGACCCATGCTCTTGATTACCTCCATGCAGACTCCGAGCTCCTCTTCAAGCATTAGACTCCGCAACAATCAATTCAATCCGGTCACTCTCCTAGACCCACTTACCTATCTAGGTAGGGCTTAAACTCCTATAGGTAACTACTAGGCTTAAAGCGGTAATCAATCAATCCAATCTGAACCTTCTAGGACCCACTTAATTGATTGTTGCGGACTGTGTCAAGCATGCCCTCCATCAACTTCAACCCATCTTTCTTTCCACCATATACAGATACGATATCTCGGTCTCGTACCAGATACTCAAACATGATGCCCAAACGTATGAAGTGGCGTGGTATCATCGTTGAACCCTGCCGAAAGCTGAACCCTGGTACTTGCAGTCTGACGGAAACATGTGGACAAAGGCTGCAGAATGCCAAGAGTTTCGTGACCTGTGTGTACTCTTCTACAAACCACTGAAGCATGGATTGGCGTCTCTTGTTTGTCCATGGTCCTACTAGCTCAACTCTTGTGAGCCACGCGAGCTTTTTTGGTTTACAGCCGCCTGCAAAGACGAAGAAGCCAATCATCGCATTTCCTCGCATCTTGGGATAGTCGACGAAGTGGACTTGGTTGTATTGTATCTCTAGCCCAGCAGTCTCTTTGCGCAATTGCCAACAGAAATATTGGAGTTGGTTGACCTGGTATGTATCCGCTTCGCTGTCGCTGTTCGTCATCATGACTGGTTTTTTTCTTCGCCTGTTTTCGCCTGCTTACCAGCGGACTGTGAGGCCGTTGGGTGCGCTTAGCACAAACCCGTACACGCGGTTGCGGATCTCGCCGGGAAGTTCGAGGAGTCTGAAGGGTCGAATTCGAGCATCGGACTTGGGTTTGGAACAGTGCCTCCTTTTAGGCCTTACACGGCGAGTCGGCATGGTGCTGTAGAGATTGGGTTATGGGGTGACTTGCGATTGAGAAATACTTTGATTGTAGAGGTGGGCTGGTCAGCTTGCTTGTTGTGAAATAGTGGGCAAGGGCAGTGGGAGGGCATTGTGTGCGCACCGCAACGAGTAGAAGACCACCAAAAGCACGTGCTAAGTGAAGGTGAAAGAGGAAGAGGCCAGAACCGCCACCCGCTAGTACGCACTCAACAACCCGAAAGAATCTGCGCTCCAACCAGGTAGAGTGTTCATGCTTCCCATATTAGCAACTGAATACCACATATAATACTTGACAATGTAGGTAAGTACCTAATGGGCGCATTTGGCGCCTACAATAGCCTTTGTATATATGTATATTAAGTATGTTATGTCACCCGGCTACTACTACTACTACTACTACTACTACTACTGAGTCTATTTCCAGCCCGAACTGATCTCAAAGTGAGCATATAGGTTATCCTTAGCAACATGAGCTTCATGTATGACCCATAGTCATATACCATGCGCATTTCTGAGGAAATAATGCGCAAGCCCTTTGTACAGACAGGTACTTCCACAATTAGAAGGAATCAAGTGACGAGCGTGTATTATCTTTCTTGCTGGAGCTGCTACATGCTGATTATGGCCGAGATCTACCCGGTGCAAGTGAAAGTGAAGGTGAAGGTGAGACCCGCGCAAATTTTTGCGTGTTTGCTCAATAATTGCGCTGGTGCCTGCCACGCTAGTTTGGCGCTAGCGCGCTCCCACTCCCATATAAACTGTACACGACCCCTCCACCTTCTCCGATCAACCACTCGCAACTCAATCACTGCATCTTTGCGTAGCTGATCAGAATACTGGACTCTTCTTCCCTTCTCTCCCTTCCCTTCCTGCAGGACCTCCGAGACTTACATATCACCACTCTACACACACCTGGTATTAGACCACTTTGCTGTTGCAGCACATTGAAAGGAATTTCTTTGTGGCGCGCTTAGTGTACCTGAAGATAACGGATCGAAAGCATGTCCAGCATGACTGCTATCTTTCCAGAAGGGCTGAGGATGCGCGGATCCGAAGTCCAGGTGCCCAGGAGAGCTCCATTCTCTCTTGGGGAGACCAAGGAGTTGCACTGCGTTTGGGCCAGACGTGCAGATCGCTTTCTTGTTATTTGTCGTAAAGCCATGACTTGTTCATGGTGTGGTGAGAGACATTAGCAGCGGCATAAAAACACAGGTAGCCGTATCGTGCCTGGCCCAAACTGTGCACGGACACCCCAGTTCGCTCAGACATTTCTTGCAAATGTGGCACGATGAACTTTGATCACTTTTGGTGAGGAGCTGCGCGGCGCCTCCTCACCACCACGGCCCAAGTAAACGCTTATTACTTGCAGCCGAGAGTCTCGGAACCCCGCGGTCGCGTACGCACATAAGAGTGGACTCGCGTCCCGCTCGTCTACCCTCGAAGAGTCCACACGGTTTTAGCCGTCTCGGAAGCAGTCTCGGATGACTGGTCTTTCCAAACAACTTTGCATCTCCATCCTGACTTCGAGCTCGGTCGCATCATTCAGGCAAGAAGCACCTACTTCTCAGCCTCTCAGCATCTGCAGCTGGTGCGCTCGAGCTCGAAGGATGGAACCAGGTATGGCCAAGCTGCAGAGCAAACGCCGCAGGCCTTAGTATCTTGACACCGGCAACCGCGCATGGTTTACCAGACAGTCGGTGCCTTGTCAAACTGGAGAGTTTATGGCCTCTGGCCTTTTTTTCATCGATACGTCGCTCTTGTGGCGGTGCTTGAGGAAGAAAATTGTTTTAATCCTTGGGGGCTGGACGCGAACTATCTACTAGGTGTGCCAGACTCCTCTGCTTCCACTCTGCGACATGGTTGCATATAAGATGTAGCGCTACTGCCATACTAATCATCAGGCATCACTTCTGCTTGCTTTTTACTAGGGTAGTCAAAGTCACCAACACACTATGTTGGTGGGGCATATTGGATACCGTTGAGGGCCAGTGTACCTGTGTTTCAGCTTTCCTACGGCGCGAAATGAACACATGGACCTAGGACGATTGAACCTACAACCTGTATCCCACGAGCATAGGGCCTGGAAACCGTTCAATGAGACGCCGAAATACAGTCAGCTTACCCCTTCACAGCTTGAAAGAGGCCTCGGGAGAAAGCAACGTAGGGAAACCCCGTCGCATGAGCAAGTTCATGTCTGTAAACAATCGTACCTACCACAGTAATCCTTGCCCGTCAAATTCGCGCAATCTCAATACATGGGCTCAGTAGGGATTCCCCGTCCGAACGGAGCAATCTATATGATATCAATCCCCTGCGGCGACGAACGGTTTGACAGTGATGCCACAAGGCCATGCATCCTCGGCGTCTCAACTCCCGACCATGTGGTCAGAAGCGGAGAGCGGGATGACGTCACTACCACTTTGCTCAAGCGACTTGCACCTCGCATCGTGAAACCAGCGGTTAGTGAACTGCCGCTCTGGGGATTGATAACTGCGCGACTTATGGTGCAATCGGGTGCCGCCGATGCTCGTGCGTGGCTGACTAGGGACATGGGTCGCGTCTTGCCGTGTTGGAGGTTGGGCGCAATGAGAGCGTGCGTCATCCTGCGGGAGGGGACAGTAGCTTTATTTTCCGCTCTCGTTTCTTTTGCTTCATAGTACTGTTGAGTCTTCTCAGACGCGCGGTACATTCACTAGATATTTAGAAGAGTTGGACAACTACATGGTTCCCGCGAGCGCCTTGTGAGAATTGCACCATCTTGCGATTCTACACCCCACAGTACTTTGTCCCATTCGTATTCTGGCTACGAGTGGGTTGGCTGCTCACCACCAGCACCGCGAGAATGAATTATGCATCATGGATTGAGGAGGAGAAGCTCAAGGTAGGTGTTTCGCACCCAAGTCTACGCGACGGCGTTTAACATGCGCCATGCAGAAAACCTTCATCGTAGCGACACTGGCCTCGACGCTCGTCGGCACTTTTACGGCGTCAATGGGATTATGGGAGCGTGTCGCGGATAGGCGCCAACAACATCGACAAAAGGCCAAGGATTCAAAACAAGATGGCGAAATAAAAGAGCTGAAGAAGCAATTCGAAGAGGCGCAGCAGAGAGCAGAGGGGAGACAACAAGAGATTAATCGTTTGAGAAACGGAGGCAGTCGCGACGAGGTGGGCAACAACTTTGAGAGGGATGGAATGATGATCCAGAGGATGTACGATCAGGGCTTTGGCAGAATGGGCAACCGATTTGCGCAGGGCGATGGTATGTACGCTACGTGGAATAACGATTACAGAACTGACTTGATGAACAGCCATCGTTGAGAACCAACTCCAGGCGCAAATCATTTCTCTCCAGCAGACAGTCATCAATGTCCTCCAAGACGCCCTCTACAACGATCGCCAACTGACCCGCGCCGATATGGCTAAGCTTATAGCCGCCTCCAATCAAGCCCGCGATGGTTCCCTCGATGCCCTCCATCAAGCCCAACATCGTCTGGGTGGCTCACAAGTAAGCGGTAGTACTCCGCGGTCCATCTCGCCAGTTCGATCACTCCCTCCCCACAAGCGCGCCCCTACCGCTATCCTCGACAGCAATCCCGAAAACCTCTTCTGCCAATATGCCCTCGATCTACAATACATGCAAGGCAAACCCCTTGCCTCTTCCTTTGCACCAGGTGGCAGCTGCACATGCCCCGTCTGTGGTGTCCGCTTGGACGTGACATCAGAAGATTTCTGGATGATCGGCAAACGCACGCCTATCATAATCATGGACAAAACAACTGGCTATGAAACTGAGATCATGGAGACGCGTGAGTTTCGACTTGGCCAGCGTTTCGTAATCAAATGTCACACGCCAGACGCAGAGTATGCTTGCACGATATGCAACAAGGGCAGCGAGGTAGATGCCATCTGCCGGACCGTCGAGAGTCTAGTAAAGCATGTGGGCACGTACCACGATGTGGGCGAGTTGGAGCGCGAGGCAGATCTCAGGGAGACGAAAGTTGAGACTAAGCGGATGAGCCTGCCAGCGCCGCGGATACCTAGTCCACCGCGCTCGGCAACTAGGGGGGAGGTTATTTATAGGTGATTGTCGTTGTTTCCGCCAACAGGAGGGGTGTATTCTACGTTCTTTGTGTTTTTGTCCACAGCGAGGCGTTGTTGAGGGTGGCTTTTGGTACGCTTACTGGTTAGGCTGAATTTGATTCAAATCCCGTTTTTCATTCAATGATGATATGAGCATGATGATGACTATATAACTGTACAAGCCTGCGACCGTGTGTACAAAGAGGAAAACACGACACGGGCATATTAGATATCGCCAATGATGTATAAGACGACGACTACTACTAACAAGATGTATGTGTGTTCAGACCCACGTTATCACATACTGGGATCACCTGGGTGTCAGAATACTAGACATACCAGTGTAAAAAAGCCACTGTAGTCGCCAGACACGTCTATTAGGTGCTTACCCACACTGTCCAGTATTTCATGACACTCGGGTGGGATCTTGGAATTGTCAACTGCAGCTCCATTCACGTTGCTTACGGCTAAAGCAGAACGACAAACCACGTCCTAAACAAGAGATCTAAACCCCGAAACTGCGGCCGGAAATACGAATCGTCACACCAAATCCCGTTGCTAAAAGCTTGTCTAAACGTCATACGCATACACGCGGAACGCCTCCATCTGCAACGTGGTGGGCCAGACTAGCCCCGCAAATGATAGGGCCGCCGAGTGGGGAGCTAGGTGCTACGGGACGGAAGCTGCGAGGTGTCCTCAACTATCCTGTTGCACGCATGGTGATGGCGACCGTATCGGCTTGTTTTGTGCTTCGTTACCTTTTTTTCATTGAATCTTCCTTGAGTGGTTTTGATACAATGATTTTTGGATGATCATATGGCTTCTCGGGTACCTGGATGACTATTCGTAGCCGGTAGGTATACCTTATCGTGGAACATCGATATTACTGTACGACGATCCGCCGATATGCTCGCTGTGCGACGATAACATCCCAACCGGCTGAAGATGAGGGATACCTCAAGACGATCAATTTGATCATCTCTGCTGCGATACCTGTCAATCGTTACAGGGCGATGCACGCTGTACCTATTCCCCGGCTTGATGGTGCTGCACTGAACTCCAAATGAACTTGACGACCACGATTACGCTAAATCTGGCAGATTCATTGTTAATACCAGGCTGTGTCTGTTAAGGCGATACTTGTCCTCCTGCCGTACACGCGTTCCAATCTCGGCCCGAAGCACCAGGTAGATAGGTATTGTTTGCAGCTGGTGGTACAACAACGCATGGGCAACATGTTGGATGAGCCTTTGCAAAGTGAAGCACCGCAGTCATTCAAGAATTGATTTTGCAAAGAAAAGATAGGGAGTTTACCAAAAACCTCGTTACAGATCCACTGTTCGCCCAAGTCCCCGCGAACCCCCACCGGTTCGATTCGCCGACCTCTCGCCGCCATCTCCACTTCAACCAACGAAAAATTTTCCAAAATCACGAACTGTGGTACCAGGGCAAGCAGCCCCGTATTCCATTCCACCCGAACCGTCTCGTCGCCATTCACAGTCACGATTATGATTTGTGTAGTACGGAAGTCTTTCATTAATCAAACAACAAGCCCGGCTAGCTCAATCGGTAGAGCGTGAGACTCTTAGTCCTCACGTCCTAACAGACACGATTACTCAGTACATCTCAAGGTTGTGGGTTCGACCCCCACGTCGGGCTGCCTTCTTTTTTCCCTTTCTTTGTGAGGTTTTTTTTTTAAAAAAAAATGGCTTTGTCGTTGTGGTTATAATTTGGATAGCAACGCACTCGTAACATCACACAGGCATAGTAGCACCCCCTATCGTACCTAGGTATGTAGGTGAGTATATAATAGGCGTGTCTAGCATCTACAGTGACCTGTATACACGGATATGTCGAGGATTTTACGTCACACGGGTGTCCTCATCGTCTGCTACAACGCTGTTTAAACGGGTATCACACCGGTATTCCTGTCTGGCTGACCGATATGAAGTGCCCGTTGAGCAATTATCGCCATTTTTAAGATTCCACAACGGGATGTATCCTGGTGAGGGCAGGTTAGTAATAGCAAGCAAGCACTGCCACAGTATTGCTAACAGTGCTGTAATGCGACCGACATAACTCTGGTAGGGTGGACATGCATTGCGATATCATTTCAAGTGGGATTGATGAGTGTGAAGCATGAGAAACTCTGGTGTATACTACATTTATTTACAACGGAAATATATTTACTTGAAAAAAATATAAAGCTATGGCTTAAACAAATGTTCACCAAGAACCTATATACTCCAGCGCATCTACGAACCTACAACCCTCTCCATCCTCTTCATCACTGTCACCTCCTTGAAGATCGTGAGCAGGGCTGCCGTCATCCGACCTCGAAGGTTCAAGGCTGCCATCCCAGTCCCCACTAGGAGGCGTGGCTTCTCCATCGCCATTGAAAGCCGATGACGTTTCTGTTGATGCGGAAGTACAGGTAGGCACCGTTGAGCTCTCCGGGGTAACTGTATTTGAAGAGACGGCAGGAGAGTCCGTTGGTATCGAGCTGGGCAACATCGACCTTAGAGACACAGCGTCTTCCGACTCATCAAACTCTTCGTCGCTGAATTCGAAGATATGATCGGAGACAGCCTGTGCTCCTTCATCTGCCGGAGCGCGGTCGTGCGATATCAAGCCACACCTGCGGGCTTGTGCTTGTATGCGTTCCCGTCTCCACTTGGAAATCGTCGGTGGGCTGACCCTGGCGATTGTTCTTGGTCTTCCATTGTGGAAACTCACTCCTGACCTGCCCGCCATTTCCGTCTCTTAGCTCAACTCTTTCGCAGGCGGACTTTGGCTCTTACCATCCACAGTAGTTGCACGACTCCAAGTCCAAGGGCGCCACATCGAGCTTGCTGCTTTCGCATCGCTTGCTGACAGATCCTTGGGAATGGCATCTTTACGGCAAAAGTCCACAGGCCTGAGTTCCAGCATCTCCTGATCAAAAGCCTCAGGCACATTGATGCGGTCCTTCGGTACATTCTGCGGCTTCGCGATACTATATACCCACATATCATCGCCGAGTTCCAAATACTTTGCAAAGTCGCGAACGGCTTCGCACGGCCGCCGCTGGTACTGCATGCAGTAGTGCGCCGGCGTTGCCGTGGTGACTTCGCTGTAAGTGGGAAATTGGGCACTGAAGGCCTTGGCGAAGCGGTTGATGGCGGCCATGGTGTGTCGCTTGCGGGTATCCTGGCCGAAGATGCGGTTGAAGGTGAGCTCGGCGGTGATTTTGGTCGCGTAGCCGAGTTCGAAGTGGCGGTCAACTCGGCCTTTGCGTAATAAGGCCTTGTCTAGCTTCTCGGGGTGGTTCGAGGTCGTGATCAGTAGACGGCCTTCTGCGGCTGTCGCGTTATCGATGACGTTGAGGAGACCACTTAGAGTGACCTTCTTGGGCGCTTCTGGGAGTTTGGCTTGAGTTGAACTTCTTCGATGGCGGAGGATTCTGGCCCCTTGGTCTTGGGCGTCGGTGAATCGCTGCAGCATCTCCTCGTTGTGCTTATTCTGCTGGAGGATGAAATTTTCCATTGCGGTTTCAATGAAATTCAGAGCTGTGTTTTCGTCGATTTTTGCGTCGCCTTCATCTTCAAGATGAGATGCCTGACCTGGCTGCTCATCACGTTTGCCTACTTCGGCTCCGGGACAGTCGATATCCTCGATGAGAACAACACAGCGGTAAGGTAAACTGGAGAAAGCTTTCTCCAGCATCTTTTAGTCCATGCCATTTAGTGTGATGGTGACCAAAGTCACATTAACATGCAATGGTACGGCCACCGACAAACTACTCTTACCCGTACCTGGTGGGCCATGGAGGAGATACCCGCGGCGGTAGGGCGTTCCTGTATCGCGGCAAAGAACGCGAGTATTCTTATCGAAGAAGGCCTCGACGTCTTCACGGATAGCATCGAGCTTCTCAGGTTCCATGTCGATCGTTGCCAACGCCCTCTTTTCGCGCTGTATGCTCTCAGGGTCCTCATTGGCAATGATCTTCGTGACGGACAGCTTCTTGTTCTTCACAAACCTATCGTCAACATCTATGAGGAGATTTCTAATGGGCAAAAGAGAATTTACAAAACACCAGACGATCAAATGTCCTTGCGGACTAGGATCTTCGCAACGAAGGGCGTTGCCCCACTCATTGTTATCCTTTTTATCTTTGCCATTGTCGGTAGGCTTATCACCGTTCTTTTCGGGACCGAAGACCTCCGGCGAGAAAAATGTATTCTTATGCCAGAAGAAGCGATCAGCCTTGCCGTATCTAGGGGTAATTGTATTATCCCTGTTAAAATTGTAGTGTTGGCCTTGTAGTCAATACTTCAGCCACGAACTGCAGTTCGAGGATGTCTTTTCAGCAGAGAGACGAAGTATTCCATTATACTTTGTCGAGTCTTGTTTACCTATCTTCACCGAGCTCGTTGCTTGCTGCTTGAAGTGGTCCATAATAGATATCATGAGCTCGGTTATACTTTTCTTTGCCTTCTGGAGAGCCAAGCCCGCTGCCAGAAGCACGACAACGTCGATATTAGTACGCTCCTTGATTTTTCCCAAGGTAGACTTGAAAATCTCGCTCTCCATGTATTGCAAGAGGTAGGCATTCTCGCCGCGATTGAGCACACCGATTGCGAGTGACGAAAGGGATGTTGGGTTTGGGACCATGTTCCCAGTTGTGAGAGCATAGCCTCTAAGAGGGCCTTGTGGGCTATACGGGCCATGTGAAGCCGAGCTCCATTGGCCTTGCATAAGGTTACCCCACCGAGCTTGCGTGGAATCGTCGGCTTTGTTGTTCGAGGAGTTCTTCTTGTCCATGATTGCAGTAGAGAAGTTGAGAAGGAAGCGCTACGGGGAATCAAGTGCTGGTTTGTGGTGCTTCGTGCAGCGCTGAAGAGTAGTTGAATACAAGACTTGCTGCTGGTCGAAGTCGAGTTTGTTGAAATTGCGGTTGATTGCTATTGGAGAAGGTACGTATAGAAAGAGATGGGAGTGAACTGCTTCAAGATAGCGAATGTCAAGTGGCTTATATAGTCCTGCGCAACATGTTTTGAAGGGACGAACCATGGAACGATGTTCAAGTGGCTTACGTAGTGCTGGACGATATTTTTTGTATGAGTGAACCATGGAACGATATGAAACAAGTGGATCCTATCAACAACACACAGTACCACCTGGGTAACTTCAGATATTTAACATCCTAATGTACAAAGGCAACCGTAGTCGCCAGACACGACTATTAGGTACTTACCTATACTTCAGGTATCTTATATCATCTAGGTAGTACTACAACCTCTGTTGTATAGCCTGCCACAAACGCTGTTCTGCATCATCGCCACCAAAAAACTTCGAAGCAAGTGGCCGATCCCACTCTATACGTACCGACGCCGGTACGTTGTCAATGAGCCATCTCTTTGTTTCGTCCACATACCCGTCCTGATAGTGTTGCGGGAGAGTTTCTCGATGCAAGCAATCCTTCTCAACGAAATCGATGAAAATCCGCTCGACTCCAGTTAGCTTGCCCAAGACATGTTCTACCGGGTTGGTGATAGGTTCGCCGACTGAACTACGCTTTCTGACCCCCATGACCTCCTCGATCCTAACAGTAGTATGTTTGAATAGCTTTAGGGTTCCCGAGTTCATGTTATTTAACATGTCATACAAACAGTGGTCAAGTCCTAGTAGTGTATTATCCACTTTATGAACGTATGCACAGGTGGTTAGATTTCGATCCCCGTAAAAACACTTTCTCGCTTCATCATATATCTATCTGCTTGTTGGCTAGCATGATAGCATAGTTGGATTCGTATATGGCTTCGTCCCTTTCGAAATCGTAATGTATAGGCGGTGTATACCGGACGTCATGGGGCATTATGTAGGAGTATATATGTAAGCGGAGCTCGGCGGGAAGTCGAAGAAACGGAAATGGTTTAAATGATTTTAATTAGCAAAGCAGCAGAAGATTACTATTAGATGTAAAAACATACTTTGGCCCTCAAATCTAGCTAATTTGCCATTTAGATCAGTCTGGCATGCACGATCGAGTCTTGCCAGGTAGCCTCGTATTGTGGAAACTACGTAAGTCTCGCCGTAATCGTCGCCGTCGTCGTCGAAACTGAACATGTTCAAATGGCATCTGCCCGCGAGCATATCCTTGAATGCTTCAGCACAAACGTTGGGAATGAACGTCGGCTGCGGAACTCCAGAGAACATGTGGTGTAACTTGTCTGAGTGGTCTACATATGTTTTGCCATTATGATACGACTTGCATGCCTCTGTGATATTTGCAATGTCGTCTTCATTGTAATGTCCTGGCTGTATGTCGGAAAGGGCCTTGTCGAGTGCTTATAGTTGACGCCTGGGTTCTGCCCAGATGCTGAATTTGCCTTATCTGACGTGTTTATTCACTTTGATCCGTTTTGGCTTTGGAGTTTGCTGGTTTTGATGTGGAGTGGATGATGCCATGGCGCTGAGGGTTGCGGTGTCGGGGATGACGGATACGAGGTACCAGGCGGATACAAGGACACACTCGCACCTCACAAAGCGGACCTGGCAAAGTTTGCTTGCGGTAGCTAAAAGGCTGATGAGTAGTTGGGGTTGTGAGGTGGGTGAGAATGGCAGTGGTGCGGTAGCGTGTGCAGGCGGCAAAGGGTGCATGATAGTCTATCGGGCCTTTTCCAACATCAGCGGCTTGCCCCGCGCGGAAGTGACAGGGGGTGCTCGGTGATGTAAGAAGCACATGCAAGTCGAGCACGGGAGTTTGAATGTTTTTGACACCTGCTATGATCTGACCTGACTACCTCTTTCATTTTAGTCGATTTCTTCCACTTAGCATCTACGTAAACCGCAAACACGTCTTGTCGACGCGTTCCTCCTCACGTGCTTCCCCGCCAACCGTGCAGGAAGCTCACAAACCCATTTCTAGCTTCCCGATACCGTGCAAAGTCGTGGCTCAGTAAGCTGCGACCGGGCGACGGCGATCCGCCTGTTGACAGGATGTCAGGCCCAGACAACAAACAAGGCTTTCTCTCAAATCTTTCGCCATGGACTTCGCGCGCTACTACACCAAAACCCCCGTCAACGCCCAAGATGGATGGAAGCGCAGAAAAGGCGAAGCGGGCGGAGCAGGAAAAAGAGAAAGAGCGGACAGCCGCCGTTCTCGCATCCCAACAGGGAGGAGACCATGTCATTGATCGCAGGTACAGACTGAGTCTCAAGCGGTATCCCCCAGACTGCCCTCCGCTCGAGGTGCGGTGGTTCCATGCTATAGACGTAAGTAGAAGCAATGCAGACGTACCAAGCCATGCACAAGTAGTGACGACGTCTGCAGACACCCAAGAGGAAGCCGCTCTCGAAACATGCCATGGCGCCCGATGCAGCCCTGCCCAAACCGAAGAAATGGATTCCCTTCAGCGCCAGTGACTCGCGCGCAATCGAGACAGCCTTCCAGAAGACGGCCGACGAAGCTGACGCTGACGAGCTGAGGAAGGGAATCGCTAGCCCCATGACGCCCACACAGGCAAACTCATTCCCGCCCAAGACAACCAAAGTCCCCGTCAACGAAGACTACCTATTCGACGTCGAGATTGAGACACGCGAGCTGGCACCATCATACTGGCTAGGCCCTGTATACGATGTGAAGCGGGGCACATGGTTCACACCAGACGGAGAGGCTGTGGATGAGGGTCTGGCCATGCAACTGGAGGAAGGCTTTCTAAAGCTCAAGCCCTGGAAGTTTGGCAAGCCGGAGGAGAAGCGTTCAGTTTCGCAGCCGCGTGCCCGTCCGTTGTCCGTGGGGCCGAGTCTTGCCGACGACCACCGTAAGGAGCTGGCTCGTCTGAATCGCGACTCGACATCCAACCCAGTTACACCCAAATCCTCATATGGCAGTCTACGAAATGAGGCGGCGAATGAGGCAGCCAAAGAGGCGGCCGATGCAAAGAATGCCGACTCGCCCTCGAATACTAGCGCTCCCGCTGACCTACCCCGAACATATCGACTTTTCGGCGCTCACATGAACTCCACCGTGACATATCAAGATGAGACAACAGCATGGATGCTGACCGATGACATGTGGTCGCGCATGGGAAGCACTCTATACCAGCGTTTTGCAGGAGGTGCCCACTATGCCGGATACAAGTACATACGCGGCTATACAGACCCCAAAGACAAGAAGAAGCAAGCCACCCCGGCCAAGGGTGCCCAGAACGCGAAACAGGCAGACCGACCTGCGACTCCAGCCTTGGCTTATGGTTCAGACAATGGCAGACAATCTGATTCCGAAGCCAACACTGACGGTGAAACTTCAGACAATGAGCGGAGCTTGTCACCGTCCCAGACGCGCAGACGCAACCTAGAGAGGCAGGTATCTTCTCTCATGACAAGTTCGAAACCAGAGTATGAGCAACAGCAACAAGAAGAGATGCGAAAACGCGAGGAAAAGGAGATGCGCGAAGACTACAAGACACAGAGCGATAGTGACCAAGGTCGTGAGATTGAGCACTTACTTCTAGTCACACATGGCATTGGACAGCGCCTCGGTATGCGAATGGAGTCTATCAACTTCATTCACGATGTGAACACCCTACGCAAGTCTCTCAAGTCTGTATATGCAGCTTCGCCCGATCTACAAGCTCTTAACGCCGAGGTTGAGTCGGAGTCGAAGAACAACCGCATACAGTGCATCCCTATCATCTGGCGGCACTTGCTGGACTTTCCAAAGCAAAGCTTGAAGCATAATCGCAAAGAGCACGATTTAGGCGACCTCGACCATGAAGACGAGACGTATCCCGATCTGGAAGACATCACTGTCGATGGTGTCCCCGCTGTGCGCAACTTTCTCACCGACCTTGCTCTAGACATCTTGCTGTATCAAAGCCCGGCTTACAAGGGCCATATTTCGCGTATCGTTGTAAATGAACTGAACCGCACATATCGCTTGTTCAAGGAGCGCAACCCATCCTTCAAAGGCAAGGTCAGCCTCGTCGGACATTCACTTGGATCCGCAATCATGTTCGATATACTGTGTATTCAGAGAGACGCCAAGGCCAGACCAAGTGCACAATCGGCCAAGCAACGTAGATCTACCGAAGAAGGCTTAAAACTTGACTTTGAAGTTGAGGATTTCTATGCGCTAGGCTCACCCATCGGTCTCTTCCAGATGCTAAAGGGTCGTACCATTGTTGCGAGACCGTCTGTTCCTACCTCAACCTTTGTACCTCCCAAGACGCCCGGAACCTCGATTGATGATCCCTTTTCTCAAGGTGGAGATGAAGTAAGAAATCCTCATGTTATGATCTGTTGTACCCCTACTGACTCGTTTCCCAAGCATGCGTTCGACATTACGACCTCGTCACCACTCTGCAAGCAGATTTTCAACATCTTCCACCCCACTGATCCAATCAGCTACCGTATCGAGCCCTTGATATCACCTGCCATGTCCACCCTCAAGCCTCAGCCTCTTCCCTATACGAAGAGAGGTATATTTGGAGCACCCGCCTCGCAAGGCTTCACCGGCATCGGCCAGCGAGTTGGTCAGGGTGTGACTGATTTCTGGACATCTCTCGGCTCAGGTACGTTTGCTCTGCCTCTTATGCAACCTTTTCAGCACGCCACCCATTTAAATCGTGTTACATGAGAAACATCTCGTGATCTCGCTAATCTGGATATGATAGGAATCGCGAGTGGACTGCTCAACCGTAGTCTGGGCATTTCCGGAACCGAGATGACCGGAGCCGCACAAGGGCAACGATCCTCTCGCCCGCTCACCGCCGGCCCCGCTTCAAGCAACATGAACCTAGTTCCAGGCCTCAACGAACCTACAAGCGCATTCATCAGCGAAGAACGACGTCGGCGACTCGGGCAAGAAACGATTGCCGAAGGTGAAGACGGCGAGCATCCTCCAACGCTCATTGAATCAGACATCGAGACTCTGTTTGCTGGCTTCCAAAACCGGAGAAAGAGCCAGAAAAGCGAGGACGGTGATCGAGATTTAGAAAAAGACCTTGAGTGGCAAGAGCTAGAAGAGCGAAGCCGCAAGCTCAAGAAGGAGGAGCAGAAAGTACGCAGTCTGAACGCAAACGGGCGCGTGGACTACAGTATACAAGAAGGCGTATGTGTCTCATCCTTCTCACACATGTTTGCGCATCTAGTGAGCACCTTGACTGACTTCTACCACTCCAGGCTTTCGACATCTCGCTACTCGCTAGTATCGCAAGTCACCTGACGTACTGGGCTGACGAAGACGTGTCACATTTCATGATTTCGCAACTTTTGGCTAGACATCGTGTTTTCAAACCCAAGGAGTTCAAGGCTAAGGAGTAATGGTGCTTGGCGTTAGCGAATCAGAGTGTAGATTGGTGGTATACCCTATAATTAGATTTTAATATTCCCTGGAGGCTGACAGGCTCCGAGAGACAAAGACAGCGAAGTTCTGTCTTGTCATCGAGGTTTTCCCCATTAGTCAAGTATATTTTCTTTATCCTCACTCTGGTTCCTAGATGCAATGAGCCGAGCTCTTCTTACATCTGAGCGTGTACTTGAGAGTAAACCTTTTGGATCTTTTCTTTTCAAAACATTCTAGGTGTTGAATTTGCCTAGAACAAAGCACATGGTTGAGACATGCGACTGCGCGTTTGCTCGCGGTTGCGCTAGTACGCATTTCCATGTTTTCGCCATTTCACTGTGCAAGCTTTCAGTGCGGACCCTCTCACATGCTCACGCTCTCCCCGCAGGCACTGCGCTTCACACCATATAACAAACGCCATTCTACTTCCACTCTGAGGTGTTCATTCCTACGATTCCACAACACCACCGCCGCAGACATGGAAGTCGCAACCGAGCGCGCCACTTCTCGTACCAACGACACCGCGTCCAGCTCCAATACCGCTCTCGTTCTTGCCCCCGCACCCGCAAAACCTTCGAAGAACCACAAGAATGACGCAACTTATGCCGGTGCACTTCTGCGCCCCGTCCAGTGCATCATCACACCCGTCATGGACTGTTTCATTCCCGCGCCCGGCCGTCAAGACTACGAGAAGATCTTCCACTCTATCAAGGCATCCATCTACATCTACATCGTCCCCTTCGTTGTTGGACTGCTTCTAATCGCAGAGTACGAACAGCCAGGCTTTCTCCCTAGACCCGACGAGATATCTGTAGCTATCGTAAGTACCTCCCCGAAGATTTTTAAATCGCGAACATCATACTAATCACCTAATATTGTAGACCGGTTTCCTATGCATATGCGCCATCGTTTTCGCAGCTTTTGCGCTAATAGAGTATGACGAAACTCACACTTGGCCCTGGGATGATGAGGGCTTCGTCTGGCCGTGGCAGAGGTGGCTTTGGTCCTGCACAGTGTATGACGAGTCCATTGGGGATAGCGTCGCAAGCTACAAGGATGACTACCTGGATTCAGTGACATCGTTGTTCGAAGAAGAAGGAGAGGACAAAGAGATTAGTGTGGACTTTGGAAAAAGTGGGTTTGAGGGTAGGAGTGATGTCCAGGAGCCTGCGCAATCTACCACCACTCCGGATGGTTCTCCCGCTAGGCCTGATATTGATATCATCATTCCGCCTACGCCGTGCCTGCCGGGCGGACTTCGACCGAACAACTTGGCACCACCACCTACGCATTCGTCTGGGCTGTTGGGGGAGTCACCTGCGCCGATGCGGTTCAAGCATTTCGGTATATTTTAGGGTGAAGACATTGGTTAACTGCAGGACGGAATTTCGATCTGGAGGTAGTCGCTGATGTTTTAGTTCAAGTTCAAGCAAGCATTAAGGTGACCTGATGGGTTTCAGTAAGACAGGTACATAGTGAAATGCGAACATGAAGCTGCTGACAAGGACTGCAGTCACATATATGTGGGTGATTCGGGGCATGTCACGTCAAGATAGACCAAAGTGAATGTAGGATGAGAAGGTAAAAGGATACCATTCTCGACTTTTCACACTAACCACTGATTGTGTAGTGCAGGACCCATTGTCAGACAAGCCGACAACGAGCATACAGGATTGAAGACCAAATGGTCTTTTGCAAACAAAAAAACTGCACAAACACCGTCACCCTACTCCAGCAGATCACGACCCTTGGTCGAAGGACGGAACCTTGCCCAATGGGCTTGGTTCCTCCCCACAGATCTTCCAACTGCCCGAAGACAGAAGGATCCAACTGCTGCTGCAGTTTCTCACCCCGTTTCCCACAAAGGTGCTTCACCAGGAACTGCCACGATCGCGCCCACGCTCGAACTCCCCCCGTCCGTTGGCAGCAACATAACCGGTCACCAACCCATCGAGACGTGCCAGCACGTCGATGAGTTGGTTCAGGGCCGCAGACCCGCCAGCAGGCTGTGGCAGACCGGTATCCACTTGCCAACGGATGAGGAGCGCGAAGAGTCGGAGACCATTCTCCTTGAGGAGAAGGTTCTGCTCGAAAGCAGCAAGGGTCGAACCGGGAAGGTAGCCGGTGATGTCGGCAAGCCCGTCCATGCTGATATCTTGGTATCGGGCGGATATGATGTGGGCGTTGTTGACCAGCCCGATGGTCTTGATGGGGTGGAGCTTGAGGGAGCGTTTAAAGCTCGCCTCTTCGCTCAGAGGGACGATGGGGCCGGAGAAGGTATCCACCTTTGTGTCATTCACGACACGAGGCTTCATGCCCTTCTTGCCGCCCTTGACGCCCTTGTCGCGGCGAGAGGCTGGTGTCGAGGAGGAGGAGGAGGGGACGGAGAAGTTGATGGCCCCAAAGCCAAAGCCGCCGCCGGAGGAAAGAGGGGGGACAGGCACAGCGAAACCACCTCCAAAGGAAGGAGGCGGACCAAACCCAGCGCCAGCGCCAAGACAGGAACCGTCACCAACCGAGAAGGAAGTGGAGGGAGGGGGAGGGGGAGGAGGCGCGGCGAATCCAGATATGTTGTCAGACTGAGGCTGACCAGCAGCCTCAGCCGCAAGAAGGACCGGGATCAAAGGCGAGAACGAGGGCAGCACCACCGCCAGGGAGCTTGGGACACTAATGGGAGTCGCCAGCGACAACACAGAAGGAAGCTGTGGCAGTGGTGTTGGAGCCTCCACCGGGAAGATGTGCGTGAGTCCCTCTGGGACTGATGGAATGCCAGCCAAGAGGTCAAAGACCGAAGGGCCAGGCGACGAGACAACCACAGGCGCAGGGACCGGAGCGGGAGGAGAAGGAACCGGGGGCTGAGAGGGAACCGGGGGCGGAGAGGAAACCGAGGGAGGCGAGGAAACGGCAGGAACGGGCGAGGACACAGGAGCAGAAGCAGGCGCCCCTCACAGCAACCCACTTCCACCCCAAGATGGGGTCCAAAACCCTCTTCATCTGCCCGAAGGCCTCGGTCTGCTCGGCGTCCAGGAGGGTGTCGTGCCTCCCGGCAGGGATGTGGCGGAAGAGCTGGCGGGGCGGGGAGAGGAAGGAGCCAGGGCGAGCCCACTCTGGGACAGGAGGAGGTGCCCGAGACCGAGAAAGAGCGCGGGCGTGAGCCCGACGCTCACGACGAGGAAGCTGTGCCACCGGACCAGCCGGGGCTGGCGACGACGACGATGTTGTTGTGGTGGTATGCGGACCAGCCGCAGGGACCGTGGCGAAGAGGTCGTACTCGCAAGCGAGTCATCCCAGAAGGACAAAGACGGCGCCGAAGAAGAGGAAGGCCATTTTGACAAAGAAGTTGTGGTTTGGTTTGGTATGGTATTTGAAAATGGTCTGGGGTTGAAGAGAAAAGAGAGGGAAGGGAGCGGTGGGCATGGTTTATTTGGAGAGACTGGCTAACTAGCGGCAGGACTCACAATAGCTTTATGACTATTGTGATATGAGACAATATGTGATGGTGAATGTGGAGACTACAATGGGGGTGAATGCGGGTGGTGAGCGTGAGTATCTTGGCACTTGTCGTCTCCTTCACCACTTGAGATCTGCCAAGACATGTGACAATGAGACAGCCGGGAGACATACGATACGTGAGCGCCTTTACAAACCTCATAGAATAGTATCATGTATACATCCAGGGCCCATCATCACCTCTCCTCTGCCCACGCAAGACACCCCCTACCACTCCCTGACCTCACCCCCAGGCCCAATAAACCCAGGACTAACCCACGCCTTGGCCCCTACACTCTCCCTCCTAACGACCTCCTCATCGACCTCAATTCCCAACCCTGGCCCTTTGAGCAACTCAATATACCCCTCCTTCACATCCCAAACCTCTGGGTTTCTCACATAATCTGTAATTTCCCTACTCCCCTCATTATAATGAATCCCCAGACTCATCTCCTGGATAGAAAAATTACTCAACGTACAATCCACCTGTACACACGCCGCCAATGCAACTGGCCCCAGCGGACAATGCGGCGCAATCGCCACATCATACGTCTCCGCCATGGCCGCTATACGCTTGAGTTCGGATATTCCGCCTACATGACACACATCCGGCTGCAAAATATCCACACACCCTGCTTCAAGGAAGGGGCGTACGTCCCACCGGGAATGCAGGCGTTCGCCTAGCGCGATGGGGATGGATGTTTGAGCGTGGAGCGCGGTGATGGCTCCGATGTGCTCGGAGAGGAGGGGCTCTTCGATGAAGAGGGGGTGGTGGGGTGCGAGGAGGGTAGCGAGTTGTTTGGCCATGGGGCGGTGGACGCGGCCGTGGAAATCTACGCCTGCGTCCATGGAGAGGGACTTTACGGTCGCGAGACGTGTTGCCGCGGAGGTCAGGGCGGAGGGGGAGTCCAGCCAGGCGATGTCGGGGGTTGCGTTCATTTTTACGGCGGTAAAGCCTTGGGTTTTGCGGGCGAGGCTGGGTGGTTTTAGTTGGGATATGGGAGGTTTGGGGGTTTGGTTGTGTGGTAAGGTGATGTGTAGATGAGAAAGAGAGTCTATTTGAAGTATCCTTGCACAGAGACTTTCTCGTGAAGCATGATCGGGAAAGAAAACGACATGAGATTAGGATGTCACTCACGCCTGCTCTTTTACGTCGTCTGGTTTGTCGCCGCCGATCCAGGCGTAGACCTTTAGTTTGTCGCGGACCTTTCCGCCGAGCAGCTGGTAGATGGGTACGTTTAGTTTGCGCGCTTTGAGGTCCCAGAGGGCAACGTCGATGCCGGATAGGGCGCTCATGAAGACGGGGCCGCCGCGGTAGAAGCTTGTGCGCCAGCTTAGTTGCCATATGTGCTCAATTTCACTGTGTGTGGTTGTTAGTGTTATTTATGAGACAGTACTTTGAGCGCGATTATTTTAGTCGGGATTGTGACTGGGGTTGTGTATGTAGGCACTTTCTTGATTTGGACTTGTAAAAGCTGGACATGAGAGACATTGGTCGTGAAAATCATGTAGAAAGGGTTGCATGTTCTTACTCTGCTTCCAGCCCTACGTATCGCTCTGCCCATGCATCTAGACATCCTTCGACTGCTTGCGTGTGGCCTTCTAGTGAGGCTTCACCCCATCCGTAGTTCCCATCAACATCGGTGATTTTAACAAAAAGCCACCGCGGTGGTACTCGAAAGTACTCAATTGTTGCTATTTTGCCCATAGTAGATTCCCCGGTTATAGTTCCTTTGAATATCTCTTTCTAGGCCTGTCGTCTTCGGGTTTGCAAGTCAGACAGGAAACTGTCTTGATCAAAGTTGCGGCAATGTCAATAGTATCCACATTTTCATGTCTAAACACAGAAATCGCGCCTCTTCTTGCCCAATCGTCATGCTGCCGCTTCCGTGTCCCCTTCGCGGTAACCCGAACGTCACAGCGCGGGGTAATTAGGTCCATCGCGGGGCAGTAGAGCCTCGGGAACTGGAACATCATGCCCCGAGTGCATGACGACTGGCACGGGCAATAAAACTCACGATTTCCCCAACGCTTGAGAAATTCAGTTTGTAACAAATTTGGTGGTCGACACAGCTCAACATTAGCATATCAATCAATCGCGTCGCACTTTTTAGCTATGACGTCCTCACCCCCAACCGGCGTTTTCGTCCCCGTACCCACGTTCTTCAAACCACAATCCTCTTCAAGCTCCCTTCAAGCCGCCGTCGACGTCCAAACACAAGTCGAACACTCTGTTTTTCTGGCTAAGAATGGCGTGCGCGGTCTTGTCTTGCTCGGCTCAACGGGCGAAGCAATTCACATGTCGCGACAAGAGCGAATCGATCTCGTCTCTGGTGTGCGCAAAGGACTAGATGAAGCAGGCTTCAAAGACTACCCGATCATGGCAGGGACCCTGATCAACAGCGTGGACGAGACATTGGAATGGCTTGAGGACTTCAAGAAAGCAGGTGCGCAATGGGGACTGGTGCTTGCGCCGGGGTATTTCGGGGCGGCGGCGAGTCAGGAGGGGATTAGGGAGTGGTATACCGTTGTCGCGGACAAGAGCCCGCTACCAATACTGATGTTCGTCTTATCACCACTGCTCTCGATAGATAGTTATGGTGCTGACAATGCGATAGCTACAACTACCCCGGCGTAACAAACGGCGTCATGGTAACGCCCGAAACTTACCGCATCCTCGCCCAACACCCCAATATCGTCGGTTGCAAGATGTCGCATGCCGTCGTCTCATGGCACAACCAAGTCTCACTCGACCCCAAGATCGACCCCACCAAATTCCGCGTTTACTCCGGTCTCGGCCAACAGCTCGGCCCCATTGTCATCTTCGACGCAGCAGGCGTCATCGACGGCCTCGCAGCCATATATCCCAAGACTGTGTGCTCATTGATGAAGCTTGCGGAGACGCGGCCCATCAGCGACGAGAACCTGAAGAGAATGAAGGAATTACAGTATACTGTTAGTACGACAGAGGAATTTATTGGAAAGTACGGGATTGTTGGCATCAAGGAGGCGGTGAAGAGGGTCACGGGCTTTGGGACGATGGAGGGTGGGAGATTGCCGATCAAGGGAAAGCTGCCGGAGGGCGAATGGGAGAAGTGGAGTGAGACTTGGGAGAGAATACAGAAGATGGAGGATTCGTTGAGTGAAAAGGACTACAAATAGATAATGAGATCTGGGTTAGAACGCCGTTCAGATCCTACATGCATACTACATATGTAAGTAGAGTTAATCACGTGACTCAGCCATAATTAGCGCAGATGAGTCGGGCGGCAAACTCCTGCTGATGTTAGATCTTGGCGATCGACCTCAACGGCCCTTCCATCTCAACAGCATCCACATCCCCCTGCAACTATCTTTTCTCGCACATGCCTCTTTCAAGGTTACGGAGTCGCCATCTATTACTGCTTGAGTAGTGTTGTGGTGCTGGAAGGTCACGAGCAAACATCCATGCATCGCCTTGAGCTATACCACCGAGATGTATTGGCCGTTGACCCCGCCTTGTTACCCTACCTAGTACACTGCGGACTTCGGAGCATGCAAACTCCTGTGTGCTAATTCAGGGCTGCACAAGCGCCGGCATGCGGTTGGTATAAGCGGAACATGCCGCACGAGGCTTACTTCCACACGCTATCGGAGCAATTGTAGACCGTATCATGAAGCCTTTGGCTTACATGTCTTTCTCTAACCGCTGCAAATTACACGATAGATTAGTACAGGTCTTCACAGATCGCACCATTCCCCCGTCTGTTGGAAAATGAGCGCATCGACGATGCAGCCTCAAATACTGCGTGGAATACTTCAGCAAATTCATGGTCAAAACGAACTGGCTAGACTCAGCTTCTAACGGAAAACGTCCTGAACACACAGCATTGAATAGCGGTACTTCTTTGAGCATCTGGGTTTCTTTGAGGAGTCTGGGCTCGCGTCACCTACTAGAGCGTAACGGTAGACCCACCACTAGGCGTGCGCCCAGGCACTGACTCAGTACGACATCCTGTTTCTATCATATTCTGAAGGCTTACCTGCCTGCGGATTCACTTGGTAAATACTGGAAACTATATACTGAGTGTGAGGTGCTAGGACAGCGCCTTAACTGCTTACTTGTATTATTGTCAACAATACTGCGTTGCCTGCTAGTGAGCATCGACATCACTCATGTATACCTTCATCTCTATCACATTCAACTCCAAAGCTCTACTATCGTGGTTTGTGTGTATGAAGGGTATACACTCAGCTAACTTTGGAAACGCATACAGTTCGGTCTGATGCTACATTGGGCAAACTACCGACATACTGCCGTGCCCAGATGGCAATACCCCACATGCTATGCTTCTCGGTCTTATTGACAGGACGTTTGCTAATCACGGTCATAAGTCTTCTCCGAAGCTATGGGTCAGGGGTTTCTTTTAGATGTAGACCCGATAAGCCTAGTGCGTAAGTGTACTTGAAAAAAAACCTTGCCGCGTCAGGCACGATGATTCGAAGCTTGTAATGTCCGGGGCACAGCGGAATCGATGACATGAGCCTCCGGGGGGAACCCGGACCGGACAGCATAGGCTAACAAATATGTATATGAGCTCAGATATCGCGCATCTAAGCTTGGATGTCCTCGTCATCACTTTTTGTTGAGTAGTCATCCCCTCTTCTCCCCTCTTTTACTCACAGTCTATACTGGACTACTTCACTGGACCCTCGGACATACCACCTCTCTAAGGGCGACATAGCTCTTTGGAGTTACTTAACAGGCGCCATGGCCAGTAACGCGGAAGAAAAGGGCAACGTCGGTACTCTTCAACGAGCCGAATCTGATTTCTCAGCCAGCAATGCTGCCATCAACCGGTTCACGCCCGAACAACAGAGGAAGATCATCCGCAGAGTGGATCTTCGACTTATCCCAACTCTTGGCTTCATGTACTGTGTTTCGCTCATGGACCGAACCAATACAGGCGTCGCAATGGTCGCGGGAATGGGCGTCGACTTGAAGCTTACTGGTGAAAGATACAGTCTGATTGTACTAGTATTCTTCATCACGTATATCGCGCTCCAGCCACCGGCGACTGTGGTGCTGAGGACATGGGGTCCAAGAATGTTCTTGCCTATCATCGTGATCTTATGGGGGTCAGTAACGATATGCTTTGGGTTCGTCAAGGAGTGGCACACCTTGATTCCCCTTCGTCTTCTCTTAGGTATCTTCGAGGCTGGTTTCTTCCCAGGTACGTCTAAACTTGTCTTCTACATATCTTTACTAACATGGGCAGGGTGCGCATACCTACTCTCCTGCTGGTACAAGCGCTTCGAGCTCCAAAAGCGCAACACGTTCTTCCTCCTCATCGGCATGTTATCTTCCGCCTTCTCAGGTATCCTCGGCTATCTCTTTTCTCAGCTTGGTGGTCTTGGCTATCAGGCAGCATACTGGCTGGGCGTCCACTATGGACCTACTAAGAAGGCACCCAATACTCCTGTCAGCTATGGGCCCGGTATATCTGGCTGGCGCTATATCTTCATTCTCCAGGGTGTCCTCACCATCGTGATTGCTCTTATCGGATGGTACTTCATCGTCGACTTTCCCGAGCTGGCTGCCAAGCCAAGCAAGACACAAAAGAAGTTCCTTGAGCAAGATGAAGTCGACTTCATCGTTGCACGCATTGAAGAAGACCGACATGACGTCGTTGCCGAGGACTTTGAACTCAAGAAGTATCTTGCCGGCGGCATGGACCTAAAGGTCTGGGGATTTGCATGCATCTTCATGTGCTCATCGACCATGACTTACGCCATCGCATACTTTCTTCCCATTATCCTGAAAGATGGCATGGGATTTAATGCTGCTGCTGCCAACTGTCTCATTGCTCCTCCTTACGTCTTCGCTGCATTTGTCATGATTGCTTTCGCATGGGCCGGTGACAAGTACCACATCCGCTCACCCTGGATCATCATCAACGGCATACTCGCTCTTATTGGTCTACCACTGATTGGATTCTCAAGCAACGTTGGCGTCAGGTATTTTGGTAGGGCCCACCCCAGCTTCAACATCATCCCATTCTTTTACAATGGCTAACTCAGTTTCCCAGGTGTCTTCCTCGCCACCGCAGCCGCAAACGCAACCGTTCCCTGCGTTCTTACCTGGCAGGCTAATAACATCCGTGGCCAATGGAAGCGTGCCTTTTGCAGTGCGTCGCTTGTTGGCGCCGGAGGTATTGGTGGTATCATTGGTGGAACAGTGTTCAGGACGCAGGATGCACCACACTACAAGCTAGGTATTGTAGCGTGCATGGTTTCCGCAGGGCTGATTATTGTCGTTACGCTGTTGTTGAATTTGAAGTTTTGGCAAGCGAATAAGAGGGCGGATCGGGGCGGTAAGGTTATTGAGGGGTTGGAGGGGTTTAGATATACGCTTTGAGGAGCGAGTAAACTGGGATGATTCATGATTCAGCGAAATTTGAAATGAGGAACTGGATTATTTGCAAGTCTTTGAGGTGTTCTGTGAAGTTCGGTTTCTTGTAACGTCGTAATTTCTGATCATTATGATGGTAACTGCTAGACTCGATTGTTGCAATAGTAGATCATATCGCGAAGGTAAACGAGAAGGCCAATGGAGATGAGAAATGGAAAAGAAAGCGGAATTTAGTTGAGGCGTATAATTGTGTATTCAATAGTAAGCGATAGTGGCTGGAAAAGGCTGGTACATTCGGTCTTCTGAGACGAGCTTATAGTATATGTTCACTCTAGCCCTTTCTTCAAGTCTTTCATCCAATACTTTTCTCACCCTGTCCATCGGGCGACTTTTCTGTATCTTTGCTTCAACTTTCTCCAACACAGTTTCCCAAGCCCACCCATCAAATCTCTTCATCGGAGCATTTCTAATCACTTTGCCTCCAACTCCAAACCCCTAACCGGTCTCTCCGTAATGCCGTCGAGATCGCAGAGTCCACCAAACGCCTCGCCCATTATCACGTATGATATTTGATTCTCAGATGACTGTTTTCGAGAGATCGTGGAACCGACATTGTTGATTTGGTGGAGCTGTGTTTGAGCTGCGTGGGATTTTCGTCTCCATACCAGTCAACATCACATAGGTCCATGAAGCGTCTTGACGCACTGTACTATACGACTCGCCGCTAGAGCGTCCACAAAGTCGGACAGATCTTCCTTTTGCAGATGGTTTTCTGTGAGGATAACTATGATATCAAAACGATCCCATGGGCCGCGGAAACATACTATGTCGTCCCTGGAATCGTGAAAATCGGAGGGCGCAATGAATGTGTATATATAGTATGTAAAGGTGATTGTAGAGTATATATTCGTAAGGGCAACGATGAATGCCTCGTCGAACGGAGTCCTGGATCCTCGCCTCATAATTGTTGGTCGACATGGCTCGTAGCCATCACAGTTTGGTCTTCCACTGCTCCGCCACGCTCGTATGACCGATGACGTCTCTGGGCCGAGCTCATATGCAGGTGATTCTTGTTGGGTTTTCAAGCATAGCCAAACATGGAATTCTCGGCGTAACGTTCTGCTTCGAGAGGATGCCGAAGTCGTGCCATACATGTCGACAGGAAGGATGAGCTGGTGCCATGTTTGACGAGTTTTGGTGGCAGGACCGATGGTTCTCGCAGGGCCAGACAAGCGGCATAGCAACATCTTCCCTAGCTCTTCTTATCTCCCACGTAGGCTCTGGCATGGCAACCGCCAAGATCGGGAAGGGCTCTGCGATGGCCAAGTGAAGCTGGCCTAGACATGCCGGGAACACTTGAAAACAGCAAATCTGAATCCTGGGGCGAATTTCCCCCTCAGCTGTCAGAAATCGGTCGCACACCAGCCGACCAGCAATCTAGAAGGTACTAGATACCAGAGCCCCGCCACTTTTGCTTGTGGGCCATCGATTGGATTGCAAAGCTGTATCTCGTTAGCATGAAACATGAAACGGCGTATGTTTCTTCTTACCTCGCAACCAGGACATGACGAAGTCCTCCGGGACTTGGTTATATAGACCGCTCCGGTAATTCCGGAACGTGGGTGAGGAAAGCCTTGAAACTTTCGGGTATATAGGATGTCGTATACGTCAATGGGGGTGTCACTTGCTTGACTGGCAGGAACAGTTGCCAAGTACCCTTTTGTTTAGCGCTGGCAGACATATTTGCGTCGTTTGTAAGGATAACTTATAGGGACAGCAGTCCTGTTCGCACGCGCATCGATTGCTGAGTGTGTAATGGCCTACTCAATGCGGAGGGCAGCTAGCTCTGCAAGATGCGAGCTTCGCAAATGACCGCGCTATAGTCAGGTTTGCAGCTACTGAGAGGTGGGGTTAGCTGGTGTCAGCCACGACCCTCAGGTATTCTGCCCGAGGCGCGATCCATCTCACCTTTCCCTCACTTCCGCGCTAGTCCTATAGAGGTTTAGTGCGTGACTTCATGTCTATATAGATCTTTCCTTCGTAGCACCTAATACATCACGATTCTCCCCATTTCCAGTGCTACTGACAGCTGGGACTTTTATGGGGGCAGTACCTTGTAGGTCGAAACGTTGGAGAATCTTGTTGGCATATGCTTCCTGGTGGATGTGTGTCTGGGTGTCTGTCCGGGCAATTTACATGCCTAGATAGATAGCATCCTCGTCTTCGTCTGTGATGTTGAAGAGGAGGGCAAGTTGTTGCGTCGTCATTTGCCGAGTCCTGCCACCGGGTATCCCGCCATGAGGAAAGCCGCCATCGGATTTGGAAATGGTAGAAGAATACGCATATATAGAGAGAAAACCAGATCTGAGAGGGCAGAGAGATAGGCGAACAAGAGAAACACAGGCGCACATCGCTCAATATGCGTCTCACTGTCGCAAGCATGGATAATATCATCCAGCTCTCGTCGAGTCAGCTAACCACCGCCAAATGGTGCCGTAGTCGTAGAACGCTGGACCAGAAAGGTGTGTCTAATCGATATATAAGGAGCAGAAATCTTATGTGAACGACATGTGGTGGTCTGAAGCTACGTCGTTCCATGTGCCGAGGTTTCCAGAGAATCCACAGTGGTATCCCTTTCGAGATACCGGTCTAAACTTCATGATTGGGTGTCTTAACGGAAGTCCTGCGAGGGTACATCACTCACGGGTACTTCCCGCTTGTTCCAGAGGGGCGGCGGCGAACATGAACGCGTGGGTGTTCTTCTCACACACGTATGCGGTGAAAGGCGGAAGCGGAGAAAATATCAACCATCTTCGGGACGCCTAGTCAGGGCAATCGGGGCGGACCGTCAAGAACGGAACATCATTCAGAGGCGAGGCCGCAGAAAACCTAAGAGCGCCCTGCATTCCCTTCAATCGGCATCTTTTCCACGTCATCGTTTCAGCGAAAAGTCGCTTTATATACGGTTATACGAGGGTGTTGATATATAGGTCGTAGTGGTAATAGTTTCGGCAGCGGATAAAAATCAAGCGCTCGTCAGACTCATGGCGGAATTGTGCACCTGGAGAGCCCTCGTTAGACTCACGCTGTGATTTGTTTCCTTCGCATGGTTTCTCGACGAAAGTGTGCTCAGGGGAAGGACTTTGCGCCAAAGTCAGCGTCCAAGCCCTTATCCGTCGTCAAGAGGCGCCACAAAGCATCCCTGTACCGGGGAAAGGTACTCGCAGTCGACATCATGCCGAAACCACAATGTAGGAGGGAGAAGGGCTTCCGGAGACGCCTGTTAGGCCATGGTATTCAGTTGGTGAGACAGAGCAAAAAGGCACCCATACGACATACAACTGCTCTCAAGTGCAGTTTGCGAGTGCAGATAGCCTGCCTGGGGGACTATCGCAGGCTTCTTCTCCAGCTCGACTTTTTGCTTCTCGCTTGGGTCTGGCCCTCGTACTGTTAGTTAAATGTCTTTTAAATGGAACCAAAACGGGAGATACTTACAAAACGTCTCTTGGGCGATCTGCTTAGGCTCGAGTGTGGAAAACGTGTTATAGCGGTTAATTAGGTAGTATATAGGACGACTGGTGAAAACCGGCAAGCACCACATCGTGCTCAGACTTCCGTTGTCGGCATGTTACTCTTGCATGGAAGTATAGAATAGTCCATGGAGTAATGGAACAATCCAATGAGTAAGACTCAGTGTTGACTTCCCAACCTCGACCAAACGCTCAAACATCGCGATTCTCTCAACCAGCTTGTGACCTAGCTGCTAGCGATGCTGCGCAAGCATCCATGCCACACTCCCTCCATTCGGGGTTCCCAACAAAGTCATAGCCTGCTCGTACTGTGAAATGGCCTCAGACTCCACCCTAGAACGCTCGGGATTCTGCTAGACAGCTGCTGGGAAAATATGTGGGCATGGATCGTTTTCACCAGCCATTGGAATTGCTCGAAAGAGATTCTTGAATGCCCTGTAAACACAAGATGTTGTCCGGGAATGCCGGCAGATCAGCTTTTTCAATCGGCCGGGATTACAGGGGAGCTGTGTATAGCTGCTCTGATAACTTAGAAGAGCCCATCGTTGGTTCATCAAAACAAGCATCGTTTGTGGGATATTGGAAGAGCATATACGTGGTATAGCGGTTTGTCCGACATCTCCATATAAGATGCGAGGAGTAAAGAGGAACATTGGAAGAGTTGATCATTGTTTCCGCAGCATGTCCTTGGGCTGGGGGGTGTCGGTTGCGCAAGCCGTCCAGGGTCCATGACAATGCTCATTTGTGTTCGCGGTTCACACAATGCGATTTGAAATAAACCAGGCAGAACACCGCATACATAGTTTTGATCTTTCGTGCGAGTGGTCTCCAAATTCATGACACCGTCGAACGTATGTACGGAGCGCCGCTGCAGGCAAAGCAGTCAATAAAACGTTTTAGCCAGAGGCAAACAGGTTGTATCAGCAAGCTGATTGTACACGAGACGGAAGCTGATGAGGCCAGACACTTGAAAAAAAATTCAGTTGAAATATTCGCCAAACAGAAGTCGAAAGAGCAGGTCAAACTCACGGTCGCATAATCACCATATTGTGTTTCACCGTAGTGTTCGCAGAGCACAGTCCGCAGATGCCACACATAAGACACATGGGATTGCAGTGAGTCCCAATTTCGGCGAATGAAGGTGGTTGGTCCTCAGAGACGCTGGCAATAGTACTTCGTACTGGAAGAGGATCTATACGTCTATCGTGGTGCACACTTAGTTCCGGAGGACATCAGGCGATCAACCTCTTTCCACTGCAGCGACTGTTTCCGAGACGGGTGTTTTAGAGGCAAGGTATATATATAAAAGATGCGAGAAAAATCGAGGTATATAGGGTCAGACTGTAAAGAAGGCGAATAAGTTCGATAGATAGCCAGTTGTTTTGAAACGGCTAGGTATGGGTTATCAGCCCACAGTCGGAGTATGTGTCATCAGCCCACAGTAGCCGTCGATGTATATATAAGAAGGGGCGAAAAAGAAGGTCGATACATGGCTCGCTGTATGAGCAGATGAGGACATATGCCACAGTTCAGGTATTTTGGGACGGCGAGATGTCGTAATCATCCCGCAGTAGTCTCCATGGGACAGTGCCTCCAGGAGAACACATAGTGAGACGCTATCACTAGAAGATATCAGTTAGATTCTACAAATAGAGGAGTTTTTACATACCCAGCGCCACCCACAGCAACCATGTGAGTTCCCGAAGATGAGCTCGTGTCATATTAAAGGAATTTCAGCGCATTTTTCTCTCGGAGCGATCTGCGCATGAAACATCATGGCATACACATCCACAGCCGCCCACACATGTTGGACTGGTCTCTGCCATGCTGCGAGAGTCAGGAGCAAGTATTTGTGTGATGCGTAGGCTGCATCCATTGTCCCCCAACAACTTGCTCTTTGGAAATGTGCCTGTTATGTAAAAAGAAGAGAGAAGGGGGGCACATCATGTGTGGTTTAGATCTCTTTTGAAACATGAGGCTCATAACCTGTGGTTTACAGGCAGGCCCAACGTCTCTCTCATACATACTTGTCTTTGAAGTCTCTCATAGAAGATCCAGACTGCAAGGGGTATACACGAGATATTCGGACAGACAGAGTCATGGTATACAAGAGTGAGGTATGTAGTAGAGAATAGCCGGTACATTCGCGTTGCTGTTGTACAGATGGGTTGGTGTGCTTATAAGAAGGGGACATCGTTATAAAAGAAGAGGGCTGGGGTTATACAAAAATTTGGGGTATACATGGGGGTAGGAAGGGGTACAGGTGGGGAGGTAAGGGAGTCACGTCTTGAGATAGAGGGCATGTTGGCTAAATATATGCTATCTCCCATCTCCCGGCATTCTGTGTGCGATATCATCTTGCAAGCGCGAGTGGAGATCTCCGCAACACCGTAGCCACGTTTCCAGCTTCATCCGGTGAGTGGTGAGATATGCCAGACAAAGAACAATGAAACCTTTGACAGCGTGGTACTGTATGCCGCCGTCAATATTCGACCTCATTTGCAAAAATAGGCCAAAAGTCCGCTTTTTGGTTGAATGTGGTTGTTGTTTGACAGCCTGGCACTTTACACTCCCGTCAATATCTCACTCCCTACACAGGAATGGCCCTATCAATTTCCACTCCTCGGTTTGACTTGACGGTTACTTGACAGCCTGGCACTGCACACTCCCGTTTCCTCCTGCACGCCCGCGACGGAAATGAGCCCTCCCACACCACTCCCGTTCTTCCATCCCGTCATCCAAAAGACCATCAATAACGTGGCTCCACTTCCCGCTTTTAGGCCCTCCTTCTATATCGATGTATGTGGGAATTTATCTAGCGACGGCGGACGTGTACTATTCCCGCCTTCACCGGAGAGATGCTGAGATATCTGGAACCACGACAAACACAGGGTCCCGTCAATAACTTGCAGCTCCACTCCACTCTATCCCCTCCCTAAGGCCAATCACATGTCCACTCGAGCTCACTTCCCGTACCTACCCGTTAGGACCCTATCCGCCCTTTGTTCCTAGCCTCGCTGTTTGCTCCACCCATCTCCGTCCACCCCTGCTTACCTACACATAGGTACGCCCACCACGCCATCGCCTTCCCAGCACGCCATACCCGACGCCAAGTCAAACATGCGCATAATACAGATTGTGGTTGTTTGCTCCGCCACCCTCCGCCTACCTCCGACCATTTCCGCTTACCCACAGCTGCCCTGCGTATCTGCAGATAAGCTACGTGATAACATCATCGCTCAGCCACAGATCACTGTCGCAAGCGCAGTTTGTGTCTTGGTAATTAGTCAACCATGCGGTGATGCGGTGCTGTAGCAATGTCAAGATGCGGTCATGCGGCTGTGCGGCGGTGGTGAGATGGTGAGGTAGCACAACATTGATAGCGTGGCGACGGCTACCTATGGCACGCCGGTGTTCTAGATTGTTGTTTTGGTGTTCCGGTGAGCTAAAGCTGAAAGGGGCGGAGCAATCGAGTGAGTGAGTGCGTGAGAAGGGTGGTGGTGGTGGTGTCGGTTCGGGTACCTGCATATCCAGCGTTCCCAGCATTGCCAGCGCTGCCGCCGCTGCGCGCCCTGCATATCAGCTAGTGAGACAACAATCTTTGGTTTCATTGAACATCATACTGTGTCCGATATATGCAGGAACATGCAGGTGTGCGTCTCCGTCACCACATACCCCCTTTTGCACGCGGGGAAAGGGGAAACAAATCAACATCAGGCTACCGGAAGGAAACTCGTAGTTAATGTATATTTTTTCATTAGAAATTAAACAGCAATTTACCATCAATTTGATCCAATGCTGTGGAACATGTTGTCCTAAACAGCGGTCTAAGGAGAAAGAAGGGTATTGTACGTAGCAGCAAACAGCTGTCGGGAAACGCGCAAACATGCATGTCATTCCCCATCCATTAACACGTGCACGTCGCGACGTATCCCGGGATCCATCGTTGCCCCGGAGGAAGAAAGACTAGACTTAGAAAAAAAGGAAAAATTGGTATCATTGTTGTTTAGGAAAACGATCCGCCCTGGACGGGAACAGAAGACCCTGCATCATGCAGGGTCAGCCACCTGAACCAAAGTACTGAGGCAAGGACTTGAAAAAGGAAAAATGGGCGTAGGCAGTTACGTAGATAGCCGGGTAAATTGAGAAACAGAATAGCAAACCGATATGCCCGTTACGGGCCGACAGCGTCAGAAAGGCTAGAAGAAGTGGATCGTCGGTGACATGCAAACACTTTAAGTGAAGCGGTCAAAACATGCAACGGGTAAACGGCTTCGAGCTGATGTTTCTAATGACAAACGGTCCCGTCTGTGCGTGTGCGTGGAGCCGATAAACATTCCGATTCCGTGGAGCTGCACAACTCTGCAAACATTCACGCACGTTAGCCACTAAGCCAAATGTGTCTTGTTTTCAGTCATTCAAGCCGAAGACGCGCCTCAAGCCTTGAAACTTCTTCTTCTTCCCGGTCCGCCCGTACGAGACGGATCGGCCCTGTGCATCGATTGTCGGTGCCGAAACGTGGGACACAGCACCAGTGCTGGATTTACGGATGGCGAAACGTGGTCTGCGCGGCGCGACACCATCCGAGCTGATTGGACGATCGTCTATTGGGATGGTGGGTGGAAGTGGCCATTCGGGAGTTGACCGACGTTGCAGCTTTGGTGACTTGATGGGGGTGATGGGTGTGAGATCGCCAAACTCCTTGTCTTCGTCAATGGGAGTCATGGCAAATCCTTTGTCGCGGTTTCGTTGCGCAGGTGGCATGGGTATCTCTGTGGGTGCAGAGGTAGACTGTGCCGTTGCAGGCCGCGTCTCGGTAGTCCCTGCCTGAGGTGTCTTCTTCTTCCCCAAACCAAAGAATCCTCGCTTTGTCTTGACTTTGTTACCAGCCTCGAATGAAGGCAAAGGAGCAGCATGTTTGCTGTCGCGTAAGGAGCCAGTAGATAGCGCCGTGCCTTGTGCGCCATTCGTTCCATTGGCCGCTGGTGCGGCATGGGGAACAACGTTCGGGATTTCCTCCTCTGCTTCTTCCTCCAGATCCGTCGAGTCACCGTCCTCTTCCCCAGCTTTCCTGGGGATGCCCCGCACTGGCGTCAAGCCAGGCGGGAGCTTGTAGTCCCCTACATCATCCGAGTCGGAGTCCTCAAAACGGCTTTGGAAACGGCTCTGAAAACGGCTAGGCCGATCGTCCTCATCCTCGTCGCTTGAATCAACAATGCGGCTCTTGAAAGGAGTCCTGGTGGTCTTGGGCGCCTTTGCTGGAGGTGCAGTTTGTTTCATGGGCTTTTGCTGGTTGGCGAAAGAGGGCATAGGCTTTTGATGTACGGGCAAAGGAGCATAAGTGTCAGCACCCGTACGGAATCTGCCCATTGGCGAAAGTGATCGGATGCTGAACTTTGACGACCTTCTTGGTTCTTGAGTTGGCGAAGAAGACCGCATGGATCTTCGCATCGCGGGTGATGGGGAGCCCGCAGGTGAAATTGCACGAACTTGCCTAGGCGCAGGAACATTCATGCGCATAGTGGGCGTAGGTTCTTGTCTCATAGATCCACGCATTGTATACCGTCCATTCTGTTCACGTGCTCCTCGTTTCCTTGTTCTCTGAAAACTACTGGCAGAAGCGTCAGAGTCGCTGTCGTATGTGACTGCTGGTGCAGTCATGGGTCTCGCAGGCATACTCTGTGGCCTGGCCTGGTGAATAGCTGCCGCTGGTGGAATGTTCTTTTTCTGGAGTGCGCCTCTTGGCTTGGTATTGGTATCCATCGGGATCATGCTGTGCCGCGAAGCAGCCAGCCCCATGCTAGGGGGTGATGAGGTATCAGCAGATCGCATGCTTTGTCGCATCTTTGGTTGTGCTTTAGAGGGTGACTCTGCAGGCCCCCGCATGCTGGTTCGCATGGTCGACCCCATCTGCGGTTCTGCCCGCGAGGTGTTGGGTGGACCGCCACGCATAGTTCTTTTCATCTGCGTCTGGGAAGAACCTTCTCTTGGCACTGCGATCGGTGTTGTCCTGTTCTGAGGCTCGGCCTGACGAATCGGTTGTGCGGAACTCTTCTTCAGAGCCGATTTGAGAGGTTTCGGCGATGACTGTGCGGCCAGCGGAGTTGAAGTCCTTGGTGGCTCTGCGGTTGTGGCCTTACGCTCTGGTGTAGTATGCGGAGTAGGCTCTGCTGAGGCTGCTGGTGTCAAGTGTTCATGCGGGACTAGAGCGGCTACTTGTTGAGCATCGGGTCGTGGTTCGGTAGCCGCCCGAGCATTCTGCGGCTGCTGAAGAGATGCATTGACACCGCTCCAGTGCTGTGAGGCAGCATTCCAATCTTGCATCGGGGTAGCAGTAGCGTCGGAGTCTTCGCTATCATCAGCCGCCATATCATGCTGTGGCCTCAAAGTCGAATCCTCGGTGATGTTCTTAGGCGCGTGCTCCGGCTCCATTGACCCAGTCGCTAGAGCGGCTGGTTTGACCATGAGAGCATCAATACTGCCGAAGCCGCCTTCGCCGTCAGACAGATCCTCGTAAGCATCACTGTAGATGCTACTGTCGTCTGTAGTTTCACCTTCATCATCGGCCTGTGTATTCGACTGGGGCTGAGTGACAGAAGCAGACGGCGCGAATCTCGTGGGGCCTGAGTCAGCATCCTCGCCCCATCCTCCAGGTATCGTCAAGCTCTGGAACTTTGGCTCTGGTTTTTCGTACGGACTGGGGGTAGCTGGCTGGAGCGCAATATTTGGTACATCAATAACCTGTTCTGTGGTTGCAGGCACTTTCTGTGGCGGAGATAGAGACTTTGGCTCAGGAGCAGACTGTTCCTGCGACTGTGCCTTTGTGTCCCTGCGCCGGCTGGCTGAATCATCACTCGAGTCTGACACATAGCCGCTCCCTTCAACAGTGGTAACGTCAGGTGCGAGTGGATCACTCGACGTCTGCTTTTGGGCCAGATCCTGGGCAACGATATTTCCAAGGGCTATGTCACTGGAAACGTGTTGTGTGTCCTTGGTCGAGCTCATGGGCAAAGTAGAAACAGTCTCGGTCACCTTTTCAGCCACATCCTCTTGAGAGCGTCGCTCCTTCTCGCGGATACTGCCAAATGACGGCAGGGCGGGCCGGGGCTTCATGAAGTCTTCGAATTCGTCCTCTTTCTCAGCTATCGGACTCCATCTAGACGCGCTGAGGCCCCTTTGAGTGGGCGCCTCAGGGTCTACATGTGCAACCACAACAGGATCCTCTTCGAAGCTGACGCGGACGTTCTTCTTCTTCCTTCTTTTTCCATCGTCAGAAGCTGTGTCGGAGACGTCGCTTGATGCACCCCAGCCAGAATGACGTCCAATTGACGTAGCAGGAGATTCACCACGGCGTGACACCGAGGGTGATGCTTTCAATGCCGACTTAGCAGGAGACACTGAGCGCGGCAGAGGGTCATGTTTTGTCCCAACAAGTTCGATAGCCACAGGTGCAAAGTGGGCGTTGCGTGGTGGGCTGAGAGAGGTATTTCTATCATGCCCATCGCGAAGACTACTACTACGACCAATGTTCGCAGGCGCTGATAATCGAGGATACGCATTGTCTTGGTTCCTTGCAACAACAGGCGAATCAACGTCATCGTCATGGCCAACTATAGTGCCATAGCCAGAGTCCGCTAGTGTCTGGTTCGTCTCCACGTGCTCTTGAAGCTCAACGTCGGCATCGGCGAAATCCTCGGAATGTCTAGCCTCGACACCAGCTTCCCGGGGCTGGTGTTGATCAAATATTTCTTGTTGATGCACAGGCTCGCTCGGATTTGGGATAAATACTTGTTGAGGCACAAGCTCGTCTCTTGGCTCTGGAGCTGGCTGCACTTGTCGGGCATTTTGACGAACGGGGCTAGGTGAGCCTCGGCCCATTTGAAAGTCTGGTGTGCGATGAGGCTGCAAGTTGTCGACGTGCTGCGAGACAAATTGTTGCGCAGGTTCGGGCTCTTCATGCAGCTCTCTGTGACGGGCCATGGCATCTTGCTTGTGGATAAATTTGCGCGTCGAAGGGTCGTAGATGGCATCTGGCGAGTTTGGATCGACGGGTCTGGGAGATTGTCTCGGCACATATGACTGCGATTGTATAGCTGTGCCGGAGGGTTTCGCGCGCATGCTGTCGCTCGACAAATGCGAGCCCTGTACGCCTTGGGCAATTTGGTGGACTCTGACGGGGCGCTCAGCAGCATTTTGCATTGAGCGCTGGACAGTCTGGCGATCGTGGGTAGATACACCACTGGATGTCTTGGGCCGTGATGTAGATGCCATGCGCTGAATCGCCTCCTGGTTCACGACAGGTCCGCCGAACCATCCCTTGTTTGCAGGAGGGGCTGCATTCTGCTTGGTGAGTGCTAAAGCCGGAGACATGGGGCGGGAGAAGTTGACAGATCGCGAGGCTTCCTCTTCCTCGGTCAACTGGGCTAGATGGCTCGTAGCAGGCCTTTGTCCTCTGGCAGAACTGATACTGCCGCCCCTGTCCAAACTGACGCCTCTGCCGCTGCCTCTCGTTGCTGGTGATCCTCCTCGGTACGTCGGCTCCAGACTAGAGGCGCGCCGATGGACAACGCTTTGCTGTGCGATATTCTTTGGTACAGGCGGGACGGGCGGCGCATGGATATCGGCAGGGCTCCCTCTACCCGGCGACGGTGCGCGGAATGAGCGCTCTGTCATAGAGGCGGAACTCGACTGCCGGTGCAATGGACCTGCCGGCTGCCTTGAGGAGCTGCCGTTGGAAGAATGCGACCCGCGGCGCACCATGCGCTTGGTAACTGTCTCGCCGACAGGAGTCGGTGTCGTGACGTGAGTGCGCAGGGCGGCGGCGGCAGCAGCAGAAGATAGGTCGCCATTGGATTCAGCGTTCTTGATAAAGGCCTTGGAGGCAGCTAGGGAGGCTGAAGCACTGGGGGGAGGCGCACGCTGCGGCTGCATGAAGAATACAAGTTAGCACAACATGGCCCTAAGCTGCAGGCGGCGAGACGAGCTTTGCGCGCGCGCTCAAGGGGAGGGCACCTACCGGATTCGACGCTGCCCGTCGTCGCTTGCCAAACATGGTGGGCGGTGTGAATTGACGATTACAGCAGTCGCGACTGGCACTGCATTTCCGTGTGGATGTTTAGGTGCGGGTAGATGTCTTGGGTCTGGAGGCTTGGTGTTGAAGCAGGGATCGAGTGGATGATGTCACGTCTAACGGAACCGTGCGGACTGGTGTGAAGGTGATATCGCAACACTAACAACCCGCGTGAACCCCTGAAATCAGCAACTGCAAAGATAGGTGATATAGTCAAAAATCTCGCGCCAGAATTGAGAGATGGTCAAGTGGATATCAACAATGTTCCCCAGATCGAGTGGAGTGGCAGCCATCAAAACAAGTCAAAACAAGTAAGCGGATCGTCATGCTCTGCCATTGACGGCAACCTTGAGCTTGGACGACAAAGGCCAGCAAATCCCCTCACTCCGGCCTATTTGTTACAATCACACATCAAGCCAAACACATCATCGTCTCATCGGCAACACCGGCTAAGTAAGTACATACATCGATGACGGTCGTCCATTGATGCCGCCTTGGAAAATTTCGAGCTTGCCTAGGAAGGCGTGGTCGCGGAGATTTCATTCACCAACAAGTTCCAAACACATGCCACAAACAAACATGCTTTGCCATCGCACCCATCGCTTTCGCCCACACAAGCACGCGCACTGAGATGGTACGTCCTTCCATGTGTGCCGGACGGTCCCTGATTTGCATGCCATGGCCCCGTCTAGATGAGGCCCACTTTGACTTCAACTACCAATGACGCAGAGGGTATCGAATCATTCCTAGAGTAGTGCATCGTGTGCTTTCCCAAGAAGAGACGTGCTGACTCATTCGAGCTGCAATTGTAAGCGGAAGGTCTGGTTTTCATGTCGTCTGGGTCAAGACGACATCTGGAGCCATGTGCGACGGCCATCGTCTGCGATGTGAATGGCAGCAAACATCAAAACCAACACGCCGCATCTCCATGTCCAGTTCTTATCAATTTGACGCTGGCGACCAGTAAGTAATCGCCGTTGTTATGCCGCTGGGCTGTGTAATCTCTACTAATCCCCGGCACAGCCGAATGAGGCAGCGCATCGCGCATCTTCCCCCGCGCCAACACCGCCATGATTCACCAAACACCACCATCAGCTGTCCTTTCTGCTGAAGCACACAGCACGTGCTTATACTGTAGCTAGCGTCTGCTCTTCTCATGCTTATGCCGACACACGGCCAGCTTCTCATATACAGTCATCAATATGGCGTGGTCAGCGGGTACCCTTCCAGCTTTGCCATTACCAGACGGGATCGTACAAAACCACATACACTGCCCCTCCAACGGTCTCACCTTCCACCTTCTTGAGACCGGAAACACACCCCATCGAGACAAGCCTCTCATCATTCTATGCCATGGCTTTCCCGAGCTCGCCTTCTCCTGGAGGAACATCATGGTGCCTCTCGCCGAAGCCGGCTACTACGTTGTAGCCTTTGATCAGCGCGGCTATGGACGCACCACGGGCTGGGACAGCTCGTCGTATATCAACACCAACCTATCGCAATTTGCGCTAACAAATGTTGTGCGCGATGTGGTCACACTGGTAAACGCCCTCGGCTATCAAAAGGTCCAATGCATCGTCGGCCACGATTTTGGCGCAGTTACAGCCAGTATGTGTGCTTTGATGCGTCCGGACCTGTTCAGGAGCGTTGTCATGATGAGCCACCCTTTCAAGGCACCGGCGCTCCTCCCTTTCAATATCGCCCACGGGGAGCGTCCGCCTGGGCCGACGATCGATATTCAGACCGAGCTGGCAAAGCTTCGGGTTCCAAGGAAACACTACAAATGGTACAACAGTACTAGCGTAGCGGCGAGCGACTGGGCAAACCCCGTACAGGGTCTGCATGTCTTTTTACGAGGATACCTCCATGTCAAGTCAGCTGCTTGGAAGGGAAACGTGCCGTATCCTCTTCAGAGCTGGACGGCCCAAGAACTGGCCAAGATGCCGCAATACTACATCATGCCGCTGGAGAAATCAATGCCCGAGACCATTGCTGATCTCATGGTCGACCAAGACTTTTCAGCCACTGAAACATGGATGCCTGATGAAGATCTCGCAGTATACGTACAGGAATGGTCGAGAACCGGCTTTCAGGGTGGCCTCAACTACTACCGAATCACCACCGATCCGTCTCACATGAGAGACCTGGAGCTATTCGCAGGCAAGAAGATCGAGTGTCCCAGTACATTCATCTCGGGCGCCAAGGACTGGGGCAATTACCAGCAGCCCGGAGCCCTCGAATCCTATCCTGAATCATGCTCCGACTTTCGAGGCATCCGGATAATTGATGAGGCTGGCCACTGGCCTCAACAGGAACAGCCGAGCGCGGTCGTGTCTGCAATACTGGGGTTCCTGGACCATCACTAGGGTCCTGCTTGGCTAGCGCGTGCGATGCTTGTCCGAAACCTCACCCGTTTCCACTCATGAACAGAATCTCATCTCCGGCTCGTTCGCGATGTACGGATTCGTATTCTGAAACAAGGACAACCCTTTGTTTGTCGATTCACGAGTGAGATGATCAGTTTGCGCGGCGCTTGCTCGGCTGACAGCCGCTCACCGTTACCCCAGGACTCGGTACCCGACGACCGCGCCCGCGGCCAGCCAACCTCGTGGCGTCATGTCTGATACTAGACACTGCAAACGCCCTCATAATATCGCGACTATCAGTTGCGCAAGTTGCTGTGCCTGACATGACGCAAGTGCCATTTGTATGCTCATGCCGTGCTTATCCGATGCCGCACAACTTATCCTGTACAAACATGACCCGAGCGTGCATTTCCATACTGCGAAAAGATTGTCAGATACACTTTGCAGTACGAAGGGGCTCATTTTCGATGTCGCCACCTATGTATACTCGCCACACAGGCTGATCATCGCTCAGACATGTGTTCCTTGTACGAGTGCATCCGTGCCCAATCTAAACAGAGGATGAACAGTCGCTGTATTGTGTCTTTGAATTTAGAAGGGTAAGCCGAAAACGTCTAAATCAAGCTCGCTTGGGCGCTTTATTGCGGCGTGGTGTGAACGTGCGTTAGCTCCCCTGAATTTCGAGTTTTTTTTACCGCTCTCACAAGCGTAGTATTTTTACAGTGTCGAAAGAAGATTCTAGGCGTAATAGTGCCATGGTTGGTGTTCAGGAAGGGTCGGTGTACCCCTCGACTTGTACCATGGTACCTGGCGCCAAGTGACGAATCTCACGAGAGATCTATAAAGTGAGTCTTCGGCTATGCCGCTTGGAAGAGGCTGGTCCTGAATGATCGGGCATGATACATTTGGAAACCTGCAGGTGCAAGTGTTGAGAAGTACGCCTTGCAGTGAAAGAGCTGGCATGGGGGCCTGTACGTTGTCGTGGAAAGTATGTTTTTAGAATTACTACCCTATCCATTCGCTAAGAGTCATTTGCCTGCTTCGCCGACCCACATGGTTTCATTGATCAGCTCTTTGGTGTGGTCAGTAAGCGTGCTTTTCAAGATGCATCCAGTGGTTCTTCGGACAACGAGAGGGGAGCCTCCCACAGTGTACAGAAGGGTTCTAGAGTGAACGTTGTGTGTATATAAGTGTTCACTCAGATGGGAAGGCAACAATACTCGTGCACTGTCCTTTCACTTCGATCCGACATCCTGGGGGACCCTACCTTGTACTTAACCGCTTCTTCCCGACCTGGGTTTCAACCATCAACCCTTGCAACTGTTGCGGTCTATCACTCGGCGGATTACGACAAATTAACCACGCCATACCCTCCTAGGACACTACGCCGCCGCGACATGTCGTCCAAGTGCGATCCTTCATCCAACCTCACTCCTCTCGACACTTCCATGAAGCCCTCACCCAACACTGATGAGACGCTCGCCACTCCCTCGAACTCGGTTGACCACGAGAATGGCGAGACGTCGAGTTTATCTGAGGACCACCAGCACGTGAATGCGAGCGATACCACTGTGCATAAACACACCCGCACCGATACATTGGATCCGTTGGACGACTCTTTCAGCTCGCCTTCGCGAGCAAAGTCGCGCAAAATGACGCAATCACAGCCGCGACCTCAAGATCGTTCACCCAAGATCGACAGGCTATCGACTTCCAGCTCCCTCAATCTTCCCGACGAGAAAGAGAAGAGCACCCAGGTCAACTCAACTGTGACTGCGACATCAACCGCATACGAAACGGCTGCCCCTAAGCCAGGCAAGACATCTATCCGGACACACATCAAGATGTTCTTCATCCATTGGTTCAGTGTGTACCGGGTGCTCATGGCCCTGGTCATCATTGTCAATCTCGTCGTCCTCGCTGTCATGATCGAAAAGAACTTGCCCTACACTCGCTTCCATCTGGCTGGTCCACTAGTTGCCACCGCAGCTAACCTCTTCGCTGCCGTGGTTATCCGTCAAGAAGAAGTTATCAACACCATCTTCCGCGTGCTGGCCCACACCCCTATTGGCCTGCCTCTCTGGATGCGCAAGTCCATTGCCGACTTCCACCACTTTGGCGGCTTCCACATTGGCTGTGCCATGTCATCGCTGTTTTGGTACTTCTTCTTCGTCTACCTAAACACGACCTTCTTCGTCAACGGACTCCGGGAATCGAAGGCCAATGGATGGGTATGGGCGGATATCATCACGTGCTACTCCTTTCTTATCTCCATCTTCCTCGTCTGCGTGGCCGCTCACCCCCGTTTCCGCCAGCGCTTCCACAACACCTTTGAGCGCACCCACCGTTTCGGCGGCTGGATCGCCCTCACTGTTCTCTGGGTCAATGCAGGTGTCTCTAGCCACACACACGGCAACACGCCTATGCATCGCAACCCAGCCGTCTGGCTCCTTGCCGTCACGACCTTCCTCATCATTCTCCCCTGGCTACGCATGTCCCGCGTGCCTGTCACCGCCACTGCCGTCTCCGCACGCGAAGTCCGTCTAACTTTCCCCTACAAGCGCATGCCCTACACGGCCACCATGCGCTTCTCCCTGGCTCCTCTGACGGAATGGCACGCCTTCGCTACGGTCCCTTCTCCCCAGGCCCACCCCACCGCCTACATTCTCATCTCGCAAGCCGGCGACTGGACCACATCCATCATCCGATCTCCCCCCAAGGAAATCTACATCCGCCGCCCCGCCACTTTGAACTTCCTCGCCCTTGCCCCTTTGTTCAACTCGCTCCTCCTCGTCGGCACAGGCGCTGGTATCGGCCCTTTGCTCTCTCTTCTCTCCAGCCCGGCTATCAAGCGCATGCGAGACCAGGGCCGCGTCATCCGCGTCCTATGGGTTGTGTACGCGGCTGAGGCTCCCCATTGGCAATTCGTTCACGACATCATTCGCGCCGTCGACCCTGAGCCTAAGATCTTCGACAGCCAGCACGGACGCCCCGATGTCGCGTTTGAGACGCAGTTCCTCATGGAGACAGAGAAGCTCGAGGCGGTTATGGTGGTTAGCAACCCGGCTGTTACGCGGCTTGTTGTTGAGGGCGTCAAGGCTAAGGGTTACCCGGCTTATGGAGCTGTTTTCGACTCTTAGGCCGCTGAGGTCTGGAGGGTGATGAGATGAGTTGATGATGGGTTATGGGTTGTGTTTTTTCTTTGTTTCACTTCATTTTTTTTGGATCGGTCGGTGTTGTACTACACGGGTTGCATGGCATGGAATAGCATGGTCTGGCTCTTGGGACTTGGGTTTTTTCGAACGTTGAGCCAGTTGGAGTTTTGCATTATTGTTTTTTCTCGATGGATGATGGGTCGTATCACATCTTGAGTGGTATCATCGCTTTTCCTTATTTTCTTTGTTATTTTACTTCGCAATCGCGGCATTTACATACACTGACATCTGTTACTATAAAAGTGCAGAAAAGGATATTGGATATGTGTACGTGTATAGGTATTTAGCATGGTGTGGCGTTTTGAAAGACTACTGTTGGAAGGTCTATAGCACTAGTGCTGAAAGGAAATAACGATAACTAGGAATGCATTCTGTTCGGTGATGGTGATTGATTGTCTACGAACATAGCTGCTACGAAGGTATACCTAAGCTCTGCGCAAGGTGGGCCGAAGTCGGGCCGAAGTGTCCAGCAGCCGACGTCTCTACCGATACTCACGATCCGACACTGGAAGTCTTTTCTTTCTGGGTAGCTAGTAACTCTGCTTGTATCGGTAGTGACAGTATGTGTTGATGGTAACTGTGTGTAGCATCAACCATCAAAGCTTGTCGGCCTCTGCACCCATCCCTCTACTCGGACTGTCAGCTTATTGCCGTCAATAAAGCGTTCAAGAGCGCGGTTTGGCGATGCCTTGGTGAAGGCGTCTGCAGGATTGTCTTCACCATTGATCCAGCGGATCTCCGTGATCTCGCGACGCTCATATGATTGGCGCAGCGCCATGATGTCAATCATGAGACGCTTTTCCTTCGTCGTCCCAAGCTTTACTAGGCACTCGTACAAGGAGTACGAGTCTGTACAGATAACCAAGGGAATTGCAGGTAGTCTAAGTCGTTCTGTAACTATCCTCAGCGTGGTTGCAACTGCAATGCCTATGTCAAAGCCGTTGACCATGCCGTAGATCTCTGAGGCCAGTACGCTCCGTGTGATGCGCTTGCATTTTGTAGAGCTGTAGTGGATCACGTTGCCCTGTATTGTGAAGGTGTTGACGTCAATAGACTCGTTGACGAGCATAAGGACAAAGCCTAGCTGTGAGCTGAGGTCCTTGTTGTTGGCAAAGGAGCCATCCACAAAGACCATCAACTTGGCCTCCATAAGATTGACAGTGACGTAGTGCAGGCCACGATCGAGATTCTCCATCTGCCATTTCAGGCGTTTGTTGAGTGCCTTGATGTCCTCGTCTGATGGTTGCTGAGCTTGAGCAGCGACGGACAGGTCAAATGACGCCTCTGGTTGGCATGTTGATGCGATGTACGCTCCGCGGGCGCGCTGCTCGGTGTACTGTTGCGCGCGGTCGGGTGCCCTGATATCCACAAGCCTGATCCTTCCTCCTTGTCCTTTCTGCCTAAGGGTCAAGACTCTGCTGGCGTCCATCGTGAGTGTACATCCATTGAAGTCTAACTGCACTTCTGGTGTCAGCCTTGCTTTTGGCTTTGACCTGAACTCTGCCTTCTGGATCTTCTTCTCTTCACGTGACGAGAACGCTGGTGTCCCGAGCATGAGAGTGTCGTCTGTCTGCATGCCAACGATGCCGAAGATGCCTGCGTCGTCTCTGTTCGTGATCAATAGGCATGGGTCGTACGTCGATGTTGCCATGTCCAGTTCCTTGCAATGGTGTCCGTGATACGTTGTCCACCAGTGGACTCCTGCCTCAGCGATTCCATACAGCGGCTTGATCACATGGAGTAGCGTGCCTTCTGGATATCGATGGACTAGCTCAGTAGGAAGATGTGCGAGTATCGTCCTCTTCAGGGTTGTCTGCGCCTGGGGATACGCCTGCGTAATGTCACGGAGCTCGATGTTCATTCCGCGTTGTACCATCTCGGGCGCCAGCGACATAATCAGGCGCTGGCTACATCGCTGTATGGTTGGAGATTGCGTCAGAATAGTCTCCTTGCCGTGGTCCTGGTAGCCTTGGATAACTAGGCGGGATTTCTCATAGGGCTTGGTTGTCTTTCCCTTGACCTCACGTACTAGGCGTGACTTGAAGATCCGGATCTTGCTGTGTAGCCTCTCGTCGTATTGCTCAAATTTAAAGACTCCACGACCTACGAGGTCGCTGATCTCTTGGTCATCAGACGCTTCAAAGGGGGCGCCTGAGGTTGTGATCACTCCATCGTTACGTAGCTTGATAGCTAGCTCAAGATCGTCCTGCTCCTTCTTGGTGATGTACGCGTGCGCCTTCCGCTTGTTCTTTGACCCTGGAGGGCGGCCTCTCCTGCGTGGTTGCACTGCCGGTGGTACTGCTACCGGCTCATGCGGCTCATTCGGCGCGTGTGGCGCATCGGGGTCGCTCCAAAGGTGGTCTGGTCTGTAGTATGGCTTGACGACAGTGGATCTGAATGTCGTTGGACCATTGACCATGTCAACAGTGACGTTGTGGCCATCTGTACTGGCGATCTTGTACGGGCCATTCCAGCCATCGCTCTCTCTCCATACTAAGACTTCGCTCTGGAGTGGGAGCGCGAGCATGTCTGCAGTGGCTGGTCCATTGCGGGTGTTCAAGGCGTCTGCAACTTGGTGCTCTGCCGTGATCTTGCGTAGGGCTTTCGTCACCTTTTGAATAGCCTCGCTGCGCTTGACCATTGACGGGGATGGCGGTGACTCTGCAGTCATTCGTGGGTACGCTCCAAAGACCAGTAGCGTCGGGACTAGTCCATCGGGGCCAGCAGTATCGTTGACAGCCTTCACAGCCATCTGGAGAATCGCGTCGTCGGACATAGTGTCAGTGAGTTCTGCATAGAGTATGTCCCATGCGCGGCGTAGAGGTGCATGGTACCTCTCAGTTTTGCCGATAGACCAGTGCGCCTCCGTAGGTACTTGCTTGCATGTGACTCCCATGATCTTTGCTTCTGCGCGGAACTCTGTGCTTGCAAAGTTAGTGCCTGCGTCATGCGTGATAATGTCTGGTGGTCCTTGATACGTGTCGATCCATAGTATCCGCAGTGCTTGCCATGTTTCTTTAGCTGAGATAGCGCTAAGGAACCTCGCGCCTTGAAACGCTGTTGAGGAATCGACCACATGCAGTACAGGTTTGTTGCTCAGGTACATCACATCCACCAGGATCTCATAGTTGAAGTGGTGATCATCCTTGAGAGTGAATTTGAATCGGCGCGGTGCGGAGCTGTGGAGCTGGCAGTGGTGGCAGAACTTAGTGACTTCTTCTAGGGTTCTTTCTTCGAAGTCGTTATGGCCAGCATCCTTTAAGAGCTTAACAAGTCGCGTGACAGCTGGGTGTCCAAATCGTCGATGGAGCCGTCGCAACTCTGTCTCTGTCAGGAACACAGTTGCTCTCTCTCTTTTGTTCAGATGGAACCAAGGATGTCCCCATTTGCGAATTACAGGGATGTGTACGTCACCCTGGACTAGCTCATCTGTGGTGTTGTTAAAGTAGACCTTTAACCTGTCCATGTCTGCAAGGCACAATAAGAATGGTGTAGGTGCGTCAAGCACCTCAAAGTTGATCGTCCCAATGTCTGTAGAGACCTGTGCAGTGCCAATAGATGATGTAGCCTCGCCCTTGCCGAATTTGATAGATGCCTTTCCTGCTGTAGACGTATCCATCCTAACTGTAGGATCTTCCCTTGTGAGTGCAAGGTACTGCTCCTTGCCAACTGTGGATACGTTGGCAGCGCCTGTATCCGGTAGGATCCCTTGGTACACAGATCTTGTGTAGCGGTCTTCAAGCAGGAACTGTGACGCTGGCGCTGATGGCGCGTCTTGGCGGTATACGTCGTCGCCAGAGATGTGGTGCAAGAACGCCTGATCTGCAAGGCATTGCTCCGTGAAAAACTGCTGTTCAAGGTATGCTTCCGCGACGTCGTCATCGTCGTCATCCTCGCAGTCTTCCTCCTCTCTCCAGCCTCTCTGATTGTACTGGCTAGTGTGCTCGATCCCTTCGTATTCTGCAAGATGTACGGAGAAGTCCTTGGGGGGCTGTGTACCTGTAAAGTATAGCGTAGAGAAGAACTGTGTACGGGCAGCCTTGCGCTCTTCGTCTGTGTGGTTGGTAGACCAGCATCCTTCCTTCTGGCAAACAAAGCATTTCTTCCTCCAGCGTGGCTTGAATCCTCGTCCGTTGTCGTCGCGCTGCTCGCCTCCTCGATATGCTCCTCTGGATCCGCCTCTGAATCCTCCTCCACCTCGAGATCCACCTCGGATTCTTCCATTGCCGTTGTATCGGCGATCTAAGTAATATTGGTCCTCTGTGACCATCTGGGCAGTGTGTTGCCGTGCAAGGTGTGTCTCAACTGCAGAACGTAGGTCTGAGAAGAGTCCTTCACAGATTGTGGCTGGTTTGAACAGTGCCATCTCAAGCTCTGGTACTCCTCGGCAGGCATTGATGACAGTGGTACGTAGGGCATCCTCGCCCTCAAAGTTCTTGCCAAGGGCACGCTGGCATAGCTGCAGCTTGTCAAGCAGGATCTGCAGAACCTCGTGTAGTCCCTTGTCGGGGTTCTCTGTGCGGGTGCGAGCGAAGGTTGTAGTCGTCCAGTCTGTGTAGTAGTGCTGGTGATGGACGTCATGGTCGAAGTGGTTTTTGATTGCCATGTACGCATCAGCAAAGCTGTCATCTCTCTCTACAACCTGTATGTAGAATGTCTCTGCACGTCCGGTAAGGATACGGGGAAACACTGCGTGAAACTGCTCTTCTTGGATATCTACCTGCCAGCAGATGCTGAAGAAGATCTTGATCTTATCGTCTAGGAGATCGTACGCATTCCCTGTATACTTGTTGCTATTGTCCCATAGCTTAGAGAACTGCGTGATCGTATTAGCGTCGAGTCGATCGTTGCGGGACCATCGCGGCGGTAGCGTCTTGTACGGGTCGTATGGTAGTTCGGGTGGTCTGTTAGGGACGCGGTTCGTT